CAAATGAAACTGTAATTTAATGCATATGCTATAAATTAAAGCAGTTGCAATTCGATTAGAGTTTGTACTTTTCAAAAACCAGCACGAGTAATGTACGAGTAAATGAAAATGACCTTTTAGTGTAGGGACAGTGCGTCCTTAAAATACATACATTCATGCAGATAATTTAGGTAAGAATTATTTTAAAAAAAAATGACGGCACTCAATACATGTAACTGGACAAATTCAACGGTTACAGACGGTCAGATATGCCATCTTGATGATTTATAAGCCCTATTTCAAATGTAGTCAATCATTACTTCATGAAATGTACTCTTGGACTAACATATGCAATCTGGTATCCTTTTGTAAAGAAACAAAGCAAAAAACCGAAATACAAAAGCACCATAAATAATACTTTTTTCTTTGATTGTATCTTTATATATTGGACCTTTGCGTGACAAAAACTGTTGGTAGTGCTGACATGTCGTTAGGTAACTCAATACTGGTTCTAGGGTCATCTTTTCGAAGAGTAACAGTGATTGGCGGTAAAATCAACTTCGGAGTCTTTCGTGGGGATTCCTCAACCTCCTTCTCTTTTTCAATCTGTTCCATCCTCTTTTTGTGAACTTTCTCAAGAAGTTCCGGAGTTTTCTTTGTTCTGTCGAACACCTCGACCCTTTTTCTTTGACTAAGAAGGAGCTCTGCAGCCCTTTTTCGCCTGACAATTGGTGACATTTCGTGTAACTGTTTCTGAACCTCGCTCTCTAGATCCTGCCTGCTAATCCCGGGACCGTATATTCCATATTTGTCGTCCCAGTCTTGATCTTTGGCACGTTCTTTCACGATATTCTCAAGCACCTGTTTATATGCTTGATGGTCCTTTAAGTTTTCCTGAAACATAGTCCTCTCTCTTTCGTTCTTCATTTCAAAAATATGTTGAGCCGCTTTCACTGTGTTTTGTTTCACTTTAAGTCTAGCGACTTCGGAACGATTTAGGACGTTAGCCATCTTTGATCGGTAATCACACTGTCTTTGCAACGCTTCCATTTTGGATTCAGTGTAAAAACTCCCTGAGTATTCATCATAGAATACCTTCTTTTTCTTAACTTCACTACCACCACCAAAATTCATGCTTAATTCCTGAAAATACCTTTGTCACTTCATAAAATCATATCAGTCCCACGAATATCATCTCGCAAATTATTGGAAATATTTGAACACTGTGTCAATTGTCGAGTAGATAAAATGATATAATCCTCTACCCCACGTTCGTAAGACTTTAGCTTTTTTCTCTCTATGTAACAGTCAGGATCACATTAAGTGTCTAAATATCAAGACAGCCATATGGATACACCAAGATAACGACTTTCCTTAGGAACCGACTGTTCGATAGGACAATCTCACGGGGAAATAAAACGCTGTTGTAAACGAACGTGGCACAAACAATTGTTTGGGTATTCCAAATATAATCCAAGAGTTTAAGAGGATTTTAAATTATAATACTCCTATCATTACTAAGCTATACTTGTGTCTTTACAAATAAACTAATACTTAGTGGCTAAAGGTCCCTAGAATAATTACACTTTGATCCCTTTTGCCAGTATTGTCCAGTTAAATGTAGGTGAAACATAATTATTCCATTTCTGACATATTGACAAGATTTTTTCTAAAAGAAATTTCTGTATAGAGGTATATTTTAATCGTTAAGCCAAGCGGATCCAAACTTCAATTACTGTCATATCGCAACATGTTCTTGTACAATTGCTCTATTAAAATGAAAGGCATAAACGTACGGGTCGAACAATATCGTGTTTAAATTTCATAAGTATTGGAATTTAATCTGTAAACGAGATGATTTAAAAAACCACCAAATCTATCACAGAAATCAATACGGATTTTTCTTTCATCCATGCGTTCAGATTGCGTGAAATATGAAAAGCGGTACTTTTCTATATCATTGTCAAATCAATTGATTTCGTATGCTATTAATGAAAAGTGCATTAACAGATACATTAAGTAATTGAATGAGTCTATTCATTACCTCTCCCTGGAATTTGTTTAATAATTCTTACTGGTGTTCTTTTATTTATTGGGTAGCAATAAGAATTGGCATTTTTACGAGTTGAAAGGGGGCTGTCGTCAAAGCAATGTTACGTTAGTTTAAAACAACAGTGTATAATTTGTGTTTCTCTTAAACAGTCGGTGCTTTGTGTATTCAGTTGTTGTAGAATGAAAGTGGTATTTATTAACAAAAGGCCTAGAAGCCTAGAATGCTCTTTTTTTCCAGAACGTTCAACCAACCAACAAGGTTTCATGATCATTGAACTCATGAATATCTATATGAAAAATAAATATTAAACAAATAAGTTTAAAAATAGCCATAAATAGTAGATCATTCTGACCAATACACGAGTCCAAATTAAGATGCATCAACTGACACTATTTGATGATCCTTAATTATATTCTTATGTGTCTTTATTAAAAAGATTTGAGAAGGAAAAGCCCCCAAATTCCATAAGTAGATCATTGTGACCTACCCATTAGTTGGTTATACCCAGACCTCAAGATGCATCAACCAACATGAGTTGTTGATCCTTGGGCTCAAACCGCATGTCAAATATATTCTAAAGAATAATGAAAATGGATAGGCAAAAAATTCAAAATTAGGTCACCGTGACCTACATTTTATTTTGGATTGTTACACCCCAAGGTGTACCAGGATGAATCAACCAACAAGGTTTGATGGTCTTGGGATCACTAGATAATTTAAAAACAGATATGAAATTCCGTAAGTAGGTCAACTTGATTTTTTACGTTGACAAACCCCAAGACGCATCAACCGATCAAGTTTGATGATCCTAAACCTCAATATGAACGTCAGAGATTTGGCAATGAATAGCTGCAAAAGGAGGTCAGGGCTAACACATCTCTGAATCCCAAAATACATCAACTGCTCTAGGTTTGAAAACCCTGTGTCTGATGTTGTGCAAAATATTTAGGTTAAAATTTTTCGAAATGAATACCAATAAACTCCAAAAGTAGGTCACTGTGATCTAGTTTAAAATCAATACATTGTATGGCTCCAAAAAACTATAATAGCATATCATCTGTCAAAGTTCGAAGATCTTAAACTTCTTAGTATCCCAGTATGTTTAGCTTAAGGACTTAAAAATAAATAGCCATAAAATTCAGAAAATATGCCACTGTGACTTACGTTTAGTTGATACACCCGAGGCCTAAAGATGCATTGCGTCGGTGTCCATGATTTTCATCAAAATTTCAAAAGTAGACTTAAGTATATTTACATGTAGGTTTGTTTTCCTAAATAATAACATTTGTTATCAAAGATTACAAATCTCACCTCAACGAATGTTATTTATAAGTAAAGCAAATCTCACACCAAATTTATTTAAGTTAGTGCGCACCCTGAGGTCAATATCCATGCAGATTTGGTATCGGTAGGACTTATAGTTATTTAGGAATGTATAGGTGTACCTGCTCCAAAAACTTAACTCATCCGGAAGCAAGTCTGGTAGTGTCTATCCCTAAATGCATCATCTATGCAAGTTTTGTCCAGGTAGGGCTTATAGTTCTGCTCTAAAAGCTTCAACTTGGTTACTCATCCAGAAAATATAAGTCAGATCCAGCAGCTGAAGCAAGTCTAACAATGTCCATCCCTAGATTCATCCGTGCAAATTTGGTCTAGATAGGGATAATAGTCACTCATCTGGAAAATGTAGGTCAGATCCAGCACTCAAAGCAGGGTGGCTAATGCAGATCCCTAGATGCATAATCCCTGCAATTTGGGTATGGTAAGGCTTATGGTTACTTGGGAATAGACCTGCTCAAAAAAACTTGTTCCATTTGTAAAATGTCAGCCCCTGCATCCAAAACAAACCTGGTAGTGTACCCAAGACGCATCACTGATGCAAGTTTGGTCAAGGTAGGGCTTTAAGTTACCTATGTATGGACCGATTCCAAAAACTATCTCTTGGTCACTCATCCAGAAAATGTAGGTCAGCTCCAGCATTCAAAGCATGTCTGGTAGTGTTCATCCCTAGATGCATCATCCATGCAAATTTGGTCCAAGTATGGCTTTAAGTTACTTGGGAATGGACTTGCTCCTAAAACAGGGATGCTAATGCTGAAGCAGAACTCTCAACATCATAGAATGAAAAAAAAATCATAAGGAAGGGTCTAGGGGCCACTGGGGATTTTTTGTAAATGGGATTTTTTAATTATGGATTTTTCCACTTTGTTTATTCAAAAATGATTTAGATTGCATGTTTGATGGAAACAAACAATACAAGCAAGAGCTATAAGGACTTTGACTTTTTTTTTTATTATAATAGTGAAAACTGAAAGTGGTAACTATGGAAATGTTGGTATTTCAAACTTGGAATAAATAAAAAAATCGTAAGGTGTATTTTAGATGTTCAATCTGTCAGCCTTATTCCAAAATCATAATATATGGCAGCTCTGCTGATGCCGACATTGGGGGTATAACATAAGCTCAACTCGACTTCGTTGAGGTGAGCTAAAAATGAATTTTGATTTATGTTCAGTTGTACCCCTAGCTTCCTAGTGGATAATCTCTTCTTTGCACCATCACATCACCAATAATAAAACTTCCATTTTCCACACAGAAAACCATAACCTTCACACAACTATGTAAGCCACATCCTCTAGTGCTGGCTTGGACACAAGTTTATTTATATCACACTTGTTTAAGATGACCTACATTGGCAGATTTAAGGGGTTGGGATTTGGGCACAATCTCCCACAAAGAAACTCTTGAAACATACAAAACTTTCTAAAGTACCCCCCCCCCCCCTCAAAAACCCTTTGATCTTGGATCTGCCCCTGAACTCGGCAAACAGAGTAGGTGAGTTATTTGTTGTTGCTTTATCTACATTTCCTCAAGCCATCATGAAATATGATGAAAAGATTCAAAGAATCTTACCAGTATTATTCGTAAGCATATGAATACAACACTTTGAAAATAAATAAAACACCAATCAAGTTAAAATAATTTATATATATTAAAATATCATCAATTTTATAATATAATGTATAGAATATGATGATGGTACATCAATAATAAAAATGACAAAAATAAAACAAAAAATAAACATAAAATGGATGGATGATTTCCTTAGCTTGTAAGGCATGGATAATTGAACACCAGGTTTTATCCATTAAAACTATTTTTAGTGGACGGAAGTGAAATACATACTAGTGCAATAAAACCCGTTAATTAAAAACTAAATTCAAACCATGTACAACCTTGACTTAGTAATTGGCCTTTTGATACCACAACCCATTTTTACCATCATGACAAGAAAGTCAAAAAATTGTCAATCACTAAAATTCTTCAATTTTCCATAAGTGCACCATTTATTAATTTCAACTAGTGCATATTAAAATAAAATTGACTAGAATGGATTATAAACCAGCTTTACCCCAAACGGATTCTCTGTTTCTTACAGAAAAGTTATGGCAACCCACTAAGTGAAAATATACCTATACTCCCCAAAATCTAACAATTCCCTAGAAAAATTATTCTATTGTAAACATTTCAAGCTATTAATAATAAGTTTGTTGACAATGCATGTTTCTATTATCACACTGAGTATTAAAATCACCAGATTTAAATTTCTAGGTAACAAATCCCTACTGAATAAATCTTGATAAAACCGTTATCTACACAATATTTTAAGTAGGTTCTAGTTCATATATACACAAAGTAAACATATATACTAGTATATGTTATGCATATCAAATTATACTCTGTTTGTGAGGGGTTCAAAACTAAATATCACAGAACTGTGCACTTGTAAATGTAACCTGTGTAAAAATAATATTGCATAAATTGAGTAAATATAGAAAAAAACCTATTTTTTAGGTCACTGAAACCTAGGTATGTTTTAAATGGGATGCCAGGCACAGCTCAATTAAAATTGGATTCAAAATCTATGATTTTAAATAATATTTTTATATCCTTCCTATTTCATCAGATGTCAATAAAATAATAAAGTGCATTGGTGAAAATCATAAAAAAGTACCCCGTGATTTTGATTTGAGTTCATGCATATAAAATAATTATTGCATAATAATGGAAAGAGATGTATTCATAAACTTAAGCCATTAACATATTCCTCCGAAAAACGAAACTGATTTTTACTGAGCAGAAAAATCAGGAATATGCAGACACAGATCTTTATGAAAACTTCTCCCAGCCTCAGGAAAACCAGGACAATGTGGAGTTGTGGATGAGATAAGTTATGGATGAAATGACTGAATAATGTTGATGGCTAGACAAGATATTTTCTCTGTAGCACTTCTAAGTAGTCTGCATTAGATTTGGCAAAGGAAGAGTTCATTGTGTCACTGTGTAGGCGGATCACAGGTTTTCCATTGTCATGGGGTGCTGGAAAAAAAAAGCACAGTTTCAATTAATCTGTATGCTTAAATGTAAATTTCATTAAATACGATATGTTCATAAGTTATGAATACTACACACAGCAAATGATATACAGGTTTTTGTTTACTTGTTTCACATCATTAGTAGGTGATTGTTACTTTGTAGTGGTACAGTACATGTATGTACAATGGTCAGTAATTGTTTCCAATTTGAATTCATTTTAATAAATTTATATATAATCATTCATAAGTATTAATTATTGTCATATATTTACATTTGCAAATGTTTTCTTTTATATAACACTATTAAAAGCAACGCGTATCTATATCCGTATAAACACGGGTTCCTCGCGTCATAAACGTTCGACGTAATTTCTCAGTGACGTCATAAAGGGTCGATGCACAATCAGTGGATCAAACACGTGCCGTTAGGTTTGAAAAATAAAACGTTTCATGCGTTTAAGATTATAATCAGGCAAATATAAAATATGAACAAGTCACAAATGTAAATATAAGTAATAAGGTATCATTTTAAAACATCTATCAGGCTATAAATACGGGTTGGTACGGGATCAAATTTACCATAAAGCCCTTCAGGCTTTATGGAATTTGATCTCGTGACCAACCCGTATTTATATCCCGATAGATGTTTAAAAATGATACCTTATTTCTTAAATAACATGTACATCTTATATATTTTATAAATTAAAACTTGGAAACAATTACATTTAATGCCACTAAATTTTTTTTTAATGTTATGGAAACCTGAAAGCAAGACTGTGTTGTGAGGAAATTAAGTATGGAGGGCAGTGAAGGGTTTCATACAACCACTCATGAATAACTTATGGTTCCTTACCATATTTATAACAACTTGACGTCAAAACGTATACCTACAGATTACAGATTTTGTTATTTAAAGCAACAGATAAGCCAATCAATCAATCTTCAATTTTTTTTCTTTTTTTCTGTGCATCATATTTTCTATTGGTTCTTCCAAAAATTTAAGCAATAACATGCATTCAAATGAACTTTCCACAAATTTAAAATAATTCTCAATGGTATGAAAAAGGTAATTTCAAAAGGGGTAATGTATTTCCCCCCCAAATATTCATTTTAAATCCATGCTGCATTCATCAGAAAGAAAAAAATCAAAGATAAAAAAAAAGCAACCGAAGATAGTACTCAACTGATTTTCTCCTTGACGTACAAAATAAAGTTACATCTGTATATAATTGTGTCAAATTAAAAACATTAAATTCCTTTTACTGAATGAACAGACGACTAAAGTGAAATTGTTAATTTTTTCAGTAATCAGTATAGGAGTAAATCACTGAAATTAATAGCTTTCTGTGTAAATAGGTTACATTATGATAGGAGACAATGACAGATGCTGGCACATACCTGCTTCCAGGTGTTTATTGATGCTGCGATCTAACTCAGCCTTGAGTTTGCTGGTAAACAGGTCGTCCGTCGTCCCTGATATTCGACTCGTGTCCAGCAGCTGACCATTAAGTGTTCCTGAGAAAGTGAGGTTTCCTAGAGTATTCAGAGCTCTGTTTCTCTGTTTTTCTAAACTGTAACACAGAAAACAGAGAAATATTAGATGTCTACAAAACGTTTGGCTCAGAAAATGGGAGATAAATTTCTAAGATGACTGTGATGGAAGGTATATGATAGAAAGAAAGGCAAACATTTATCAAAATATATGTATATGTATTTAATCTTCTTTGATGCAAAAATAGAAAGAAAAAATAAATAAGAATTGGGTACATGTACTATTATGTACTACATGTAACACGTGACAACAATCATGCAAAATAATATGATTAATATACAATTTACAAGATTAAACAAAATAATACCTATTTATTATGAGATACAATACTGTTACACTGTTAAAACAATCAAAAAATGTTTAACTTGGAAAAAAAATCATTATAAAGAAACAGAAGAAGGTAATGGTGCCAGCTCCCGCATGCCTGTAACAGAGTGGGGCTCGCACTTACACTAACTTTGACTTGTACGTGAAGGCTTTATCAGATGTCTGCATGAGTTGGTTGCTAAGACGCATCCTCCATTGCATCTCGCTCTCGTAAAGTTCCCGGTAACGTTTTACCTCCATCTCGCGACTCTCCCTCTCAGCAACTGCCTGCTCGTACTTCATCCTCAGTGAAGCATTCTCTTCCTACAATGAATGGTACAGAATCATAGGACTAACATGCAAAGAAGTGATACTGACTATGAATTCTGAAGCCAACTGCTTTCTTAAACTTATGTAGAAGTCACAATAATAAAACCTTTTGCTGTAAATATCTTCCTTTTGCAGAGAAAGTTGGACTTAACAGATAATTTTTCCTCCCACTGAAAATTATTAATAATAATAATGTATCTATCCTATAACATTTCAAATATAGTCTAAGATATGTTGATTTTTAATACCTGAATCTTTTTCTGGTCATCTCTAATCTTGAACTCAGTTTCATCTCGAGACATGTCCAGTTTCTCCCTGGCTCGAGCTTGATCCTCCAGGTAATGGTTGACATCCTCTAGTTTACGGTTCAGTTCCATCCTGTATCGAGCCTCCATTTCACGCTGGATACGCTCCAAATCCTCCTTCTCTACATATCCCGTCTCCACCTTATTCTGAAAGGGAAAAAAATAATGATAACTGAACAGTTTAAAACATCCAAAAATCAGACTTTGTTCATGGAGAAATATGGAATGTTACCAATAATTCTGATACAAGACTCCTTAAAAATAAAAAGAAAATCCCATATAAAACAATTTTTTACTGCATTACATGAAATCTGTTAAAACTCTAAGAGTAAAAGTGAAAAAAAAATCATAAGTTGACAAAGTAACAGAAGTTAGTACAGGTTATGATTTTTTCCCCCCATCAGTCTAAAAATTTCTGGTCAAGCAGCTAAATATAAGCAATGTTGTTCATGCATTCATAAAGGGGTAAAATTATAGAGTGTTTCCAAATATTTTTCTTGAACTTATTGGAAATAACTTGTTAAATTTTTAAGAATATCTAATTGATACTGATAAATAACAGAATTTTAAGTGTTAGTATGGGTAAGAGAACATTGTTCAGAATACACATGCTGACTTGAAGTTACATTAACCTAATTCCAAAGTGCTCCAAATATCAAGGCACCTCTTTACAACTGTGAAACATTCAGTGCAAACCTTCAAAGCATTTTTCTGAATATTCAAACCATTTTTCTGAATAATAATCAAAGCTGTTCCAAGTGCATGCATTCAAGAAAATTACAATACAAAAACCAAATTCTTGTGCATTCTTCACTGAAATTTCAATGGTATCAAATAACTGTGTAAAAATACTGAAAAATGAACCAATATCAAGCAATATGCTACAGAACAACTATAACAAGCATGCTTTTTCCCTGGGTACAAATCGTGGTGAAACATTCCAAGTTCCCATCATGCATCAGTCACAATGGCATATGACCCATAATACCTTATAGGCCTTATACTCGCTCTCCAGTTTATCTTTAGAGAGCTCCAGCTTTTTAATCACTTTTTTGAGCTGCTGTAGCTCAGCAAGCTCGTTTTGCAGCTTAAGGTTCTTGGATTGTAGTCGTTGTTTCTCATCTATCTCTCTCTCCAAATGAAGCTGTAAATCCTGCAGCTACAGGGGGTCAACAAAGGTCAAGAGACATCAACAAAAGATCAAGAGACAAAGTGACAAGAGATGAATGATATAGATTCAAATAGTTGATGAGTATGAACAGAAAAAGAGGAATTACATGTATGTGTGAATTTATGTAAACCTCACATTGAAATAAGCTCTTGTGACACTGAAGAATAACTCTACATTATACAAGAACAAAAAGTAAAAATCTAGACTTTTCCTTACATAATACCAGTGTCTGATTACTGTGCAAGATAAATAATTATTAATCAAACCACTCCTTCTCTGTGCATTATGAATGGCTTAAACCAGTTTACCTGCTGCCTGACAGATGAAAGGGTACTCTCCATGGTCAAACGTTCACGATCAAAATCGGCACTCAGAGAGTTAATTCTAGAGTCACGGGAATCAAGGCCCTGAAGGAAGTAGGAAAGGGGAGGTAATGATGGAGAAAAACAGGAAGAGGAAATCAATGTCGATGTGCATGATGGGTGTAAATTGAATAATTTCAAACTTTGGAATTTAATTAAAAAATAGGGCTCATCAAAATTTCAATGTGTTCTGCATTCTGTAAATCATATTTGTGAGAATTTGTGAGAACTTTGTTTTCTCGCATGATCACCAGTGTAAGATTGACTTGTCCGGTGTGAGACAGCAGTGTGAGATTTTTCTGTCTTACACTGTGTATTACTACGCCGCGAACGATAATGTAAACATTCCGTCTTTATATAAAGATATTGTAACAATGTTAAAAAATATTACATATACTTAAAATGTTGTCATTTAACTTATTAAGATTAACTTATTTTCATTCAAAATATTGTCGTATTTTCACTTTTTAAATGGCACTATTTTTAGATCGCGGAAGGATTCTTCTTGAATGAATGTGTACGCTATTGGAGAGATAAGTTTTTTTATCCCCAGTTTTTATCTATCTAATTAACTTATATGGACTGAAATTCATTTTTTCAGTTTACACTGAGTGGAAACCATTTTCATGTTCGCTCTCTCCGATGGTGCATTTAGATTTTTAATTAGATGGAAAATTAAAAGAATATATTTTTAGCCCTATCATGGCGACGTCATTGACAGGCCGTTATTTTGGATAAAATAATTCGAGAAAAATAATCATTCATTACATACTCGTGTGGGAATAGTGAAATTCCACCTCGGGGCCAAGATTCACGGTCTAGGACTCGGCAAAGCCTCGTCCTAGACCGTGAATCTTGTCCCCTTGGTGGAATTTCACTATCCCACACTCGTAGTAATGAATGATTCTATTATTCACAAACGGAAGTTTTGCGAGACTGTGTACATGTAGATGCAAAAATAAAGTTCTTTTGAAAATAATTTTTAAAAAAAGAGAACTATGCTGATTTCTTTTTGTACTGAGAAAACATGAAAATTATGTTTCACAAGTAAATACAATGCCACTTTTCATGACCCTGACATCACACAAAATAAAGGTGATTTACAGTATGTAACTCAGAAAAAAGATAATCTAGATGATATACATGTAAATCTTTGTGTAAGTTTGAATAATTTGGAGCCATTATATCTATGACAATGATTTCCTCTCCATCATGACAGAATGACAGATTGTCAGGAGCTAAACAAATGTGTAAAGGAAGACAAAACGGGAATCAGAAACAGAAGTCTATAAGGATATGGTGACCTAATAATCAACTAATGACAACTATACAATATGTCTAGCTATTTGACTATGTCGTATCTAGCTAAGTTTGTTTTTGTATAGAATTTTCAAATATACTATGTTGCAACTAGCTAAAAAGTTTTTTTTTCTTTACAGAAATTATACATACACTGTCAAGAGTGATATTTGCATCATGCTCCTGAAATCCATGTTTTAAAAATCAATTTTGAAAAATTAAAAACATACTTTCTATTATTTTTGTTTACTAGTAACTTAAAAGAACAATACTGAAGGAATTCAATCGATGTGTAAAATACATGTATATGATTTCTGCTTTATAAACTTCTTATCCACCAACATGTAATGTTTCGGTTCAAGCAAGATTAAAATACAAACATGTACTCTGTGTAAAATTAAAAACTGATAAAACATGATTTTAAAATATCGTAATCTACTCTTAATACATCACTTAACCTGAAAGAGGTACCAGTATAGATGAAAACGGTTACCATTTTCTTGTCCTTTTTTAAGTACAGAGAACTCTTAAGCTAGACCAGTATAAATAGCGTAGTAGGGCTCAAAAGCTGTCAAACAAGAAAACCTCATTACATACCTTTAATCTCTTCTTGGCCACCTTCAGGTAAGTTTTTAAACTGGCCACTTCCTTCTGTAGCTGAGTATTCCTGTCAAGACAGACACAAATGACAGATCAGTCTACAAGTTCAAATTACAACTTGAAGTATTTCCACTTCCATAGAATCCATACAGAGTTATCTTTCCTACAAGAGTTGTCTTACTTGTCTATCTCTGCCTCCAGTTTCATCTCCGCTGTCCTCTTGGCTTCTATCGTCTTTCTGTGTTTTCTTCTCTCCTGAAAAATTTTTAAAATTCTGATGGATGGAAAAAAAAATCTTTCTAATTTGCTTCAGAAAAGAAAGCAATTCTTTTTCAGTGTATATCTTATTATTTGATGAACTCTGACCTCTTCCAACTGAACAAATGCATCCTGTTTCTGCTTTTCATACTGGGAGATCTGAAATATAAAAAAGAAATTAGTAAAATTGTGCAAATAAAAAGCATTCTGTACATCAAAAGTTTACAGTCTACCTAAAAAAAATCCACTTTTATCCATACACATAAGAAAAGGATATTTATTTCACTTAAATTAGAAAAAATAAAACAAAAATATTCCCAGCATTACAAACAGACTTGAAGAAATAAGATACATCTCACTTCTTTTAATATAGATCAATTAATAAAGATATATGTCAATTGCTTATACTTATGATTGACTTTGAAGACATTGCTTTAGGTATTACTATATCTACACTTGTGTTACATAAGCAGCATGAGTACCAGTAAGTATAGCAGAAGTGAGATAAGCTGTGAGATTCTGAGACATACCTTGAGACCGAGTTTAGATCGAGATATCACCTCTTTTTCCCAGAGATCTTTGTGTTCCTCTGCCTCTTGTGCTATTAATGACTTAGTTGTGTTCTCTTCCTACAGATCCCAAAACCAAAGAACTCTACAGTTAAAGTCTACACCAGTGGATGGAGAGATATATAACAGCAAGAGGGAAAAGGGGGGGGGGGGTCTAGAATAAGCTTTTTAGAAGTTTTTTTTATCACTGAAGATTCTGAATTATCAAGCTTAGAAATTTCAAAATATGAAGGCCTAAAGTGTATAAATTTCATGATAAATTGGGATAAAAATGTTACAATTTAAAGGGATCAACAGAATGATGCCTTTTTTCTGTAGCTTCTTTCACCTTTTTTGTTTTTTCTGGTGTTGGATTTTTTAATTTGATTTTACTTCTTGGGCTTTGTTATCATTTTGCACCAAAAAGAAAAAAAAATTAGTACAGAGGCTAAATTTGAGGGGAGTTGAAGGTGAACTGAAAACATATAGCAGTACCATCACCAAATGAAATCAAAGCAGATCCAAAAATACCACTAAGACAGATAAAGAGCAGCAAGCGTGGGTTATAAAGCTCAAAATAAATAAAGCTAGAGATAAGCTATACTACAAGAAAACCAAGCTATGTTTATACACCAACTGGTGAGATGAGCTTGTGACTTACATCTGAGCCAAGGTCAGTGAATGTTGCATGCTAAATCAAACAACATAAGCTTTCATAAAAAATATATAATATATTTAACAATTAAATGACAACTGTGATTATGAATAGAAAATATGTTCCTTACAATTTCAGCAGTGCCATTACAAAATATTTACTTTTTTGATAATCATGCGTCATAACCGACACTGTGTCATAATATATGGCTGACAGTTATCAAATAACTTTGAACTATGCAAAAAATTTCATGTGCCATGGTGGTAATACAAAATTTGCATTTTAGCATGCATATCCATTAAAAAGACAGTATGTGCAAAATGTTTGTATTTTGACAACAAATTTGGGTTAAACATGTACTTCTTTTTAACTAGCAAATACTCATTGGATTCTAAAATCCATTGAATAAACTTAGTACCATACACAGTTGTTTCCCTTATATATTTCTTTATCCAATTTTTTTTAATTTCATATATTTCACAAAAACGAGGCTTCACAATGATCATATTAAAAATAGATTTAAATTTTTTGAAAAAGAGTGGTAAAAGAATGCAAGAATGTACTAAATACATTGTCAAGTAAAATAGTTCAGTGGTCATTTTTTTCCTTGCACTGTAATAAATTGCAAGAAGTTTGCATATATAGAAATTTCCATCTGTGATTTATAACACAGCACAATGTAAACAATGAATACTCTATCGTTTGTTACTATATGTACTGAAATGACAAGCAGTAAACAAGAATGTATAACTCACCCCAAGTTTATCTTCCAGATGAGAATTTGTTGTCTTTAGATTTGAACACAATGCCTCCAAACTGTTACGGACCTTTAAAGAAAACATTAACATGCACTGTTATATACTGCTAGGTGAACAGTTTATTTACCCTTTTATCCAACAAAAGATTCAACGATGACTTAGCTTTATACTACTCTGCTCAATAATTCTAACCCCCCCCCCCCCCACCCCACCCATCCCGCCCTGAGTAGTCTTTTTTTCCTAATACATTATTTACCTTTTGTGAGTCGTTGAGATCCTTCTGTAACATTTCTACCCTCTGTCTCTCGTGTTTGACTTCAGCCTCCAGCTTAGCGTTCTCTAGCTTCAGATTCTGGTAACTTTCCTCCAGCTCCGACTACAGGTAAACAAAAAGACGATCTTGATCACAAGTTCATTTGGTTTACAGAGACAGACCATACTGTGATGCACACTTATGCCTGGGTAAAAATCCTTTCAATCCTTTCCAATCAATATTATACAATTATGGACTCTTTCGGTTGTGAATATGGTTTGTTATTCACCAGAAAAATATCAATATTGACCGAGGCGAAGCCGAGGTCAATATTGATATTTTTCTGGTGAATAACAAACCATATTCACCAACAAAAGAGTCCATAATCATTTTATTATATAGTCAGGCTTTAAATAAATAAGACATCGAGGTCTGCATGACGATACCATTTTCAATAACGAACCTCTGTCGTCGAAATAAAAAAAAATGTCCAGATTACAGCTTAACACTTCTGTGTTTTCCTTTTGCTGTGTGCAAGTCATCGAAATGTTTGGAAAATAATCCTGCGATAGACTTGCCCAACATTTTTCCTGCTCAGATACACAGCTGGCTCCAGTTGTTGCATCCTAATTGTTTTTAACGTTGTTTGAGGTATTGTGACGTCACAATGCCGCTGCACGTGCACTCACCCTCCGGTGAATATGGCCTCAAATCAAGTGAATATGTAGTATTATGAACTGTTTGCTTTTGTATAGATTATATAGGGACTATTTATAGACTATATAATAACACATTTTAAAGCACATTATTAAAATATGTGCTTGCATGATCCAATAAAAATATCAAATGAATTAAAGAATATGTTAACCCTGAACAAAGAAAATCCTTGTGGATGGCACCATCTTAAGGTCAAGATCTAGTAAATGCTTTTGGTGCTAGATCCATTATGACGTCATAATTGATTTAATCTTATTTTTTCCCGTATTTTACAGCTATAACAGAATTAAGTAGAAATTTGCACATTTTCATGGAATTCAATTTGAAATCATTTCAAAAGGAACCCCGATACCTATATTCAATTTAATATCATTTTAAAGAAGAGGTCGAGAAGATATAAAAAACTGTTTACTGAGAGACTGTAGGCAATATTGATACATTTTGTTTGTCTGAGATGGAGAAAACTCCCCTTTTTATACCTGATTTTCTTAATTTTTCATTGAAAAGGGCAGTTTAAAACGTTATTTCGTTGATATTATCTAAAAATTATGCCCCGATACACATCAATTTATTTAGCTATAATTGTAATAAATAATTAAAGGAATTTGTTTCTCAAATTTGAGAAATCTGTAGGCACTCTTCATTTACTAGATCTTGACCTTAACTGAGGTCCAGATCTGTGACTTTCATTGACAATCCTCAAACCTCAAGCGAGATTCATACAACCAATGGCAGTAAATGTCTCCCTCACCTTAGACTTATTGACAGCCTCCATGTTGGCAGAGCTATTGAGGAGTTTCTGACTGTTGGTCTCCTCCCTCTCCTGGATCCTCCTCAGTTGATCCTCCACAGTGTTGTATTTACTCTGGGCCTCGATACTCTTCTCCCGTTCGTGATTGGCCTTTTCTCTGTACTTCTCTATCTCCATATGTAACCTCATCTTCTCCTCCTCCATGCCTCTCTTAGTCTAAAAAACAAAGGATTGCTGTCAAATGCTGATAATTTCATTAAGTATTTCAATATTCACAATAGAACTCTAAGTCTATGAGATGAGAAGCTCAGTCTGTATTAGAGTCCTCATGAGGTACAGTTACAAAATCGAGTTTTATTCAACACTTTATTTTTGAGGATAAAGTTCTTGTGATATATTGCATTAAGTAATGCCTTACGAATCATATGGAGAATATGCAAAAATTATATCTAACGAATAAATAAAATACTATTCTCTTGCTAAAATAAAGTTATACAAACTATATACTGTATGTGGTATTACCCAGAACTTCACATGACTGAGACACATCTATATTGTTTTTTACATTCAGATAAATTATTTGTACATGAGATTGTTTTTTTTATTATTATATTATTTATTACCTGATCCAGATTTTGATAGTTGGCCTCCACCACTGAGAGTTTACGGATCTGGTCCGCTACCTCGTTGTTAAGTCGACCATTTTCCTGTTCCAGTTGATTCCGGCGAGCCTCAATGTTACGATTCTCTTCCTTCAGTCGAGAACACTGGTCTGATAAAATCAAATTTCTCTCCTCCCAGTGCATCTTTGTCTGAAATACAAGATTATGAGTGGGGTATTTAATTAAATACAGAATTTATTGAAGAGTTATTCCCCTTCACAAGCAATGAACATAACAAAATAAGCAAAACACAATGTGCTTTACCAAAATAGCTGGGAAAGTTTCAGAATTTATTTTTGTGATAATTATCTTGATATACTGAGTCACATAAACAGAGGTACTTGAAATATTTATCATTTATTTCAAATTTATTTTATTTTTATTTTCCCAAAACTTATGACTTTTATGATGGCCTCACCTTTTCAGCATCAGCCTGCATGCTGGCAATGATCTTAGTGTATTCCAGACTCTTGTCCCCACCCTGCTCTGCGATACTCCTCTGAAGGTTTTCAACCTGTTGCTTAAGGGACAGATTTTCATGCTGCATGGTGGTGTGTCTAAAGTAAGCAATAAATGACATATTTAAAATACCTTAAACCTGGCACATCTCTAAGAAACAATTTTCAGTTCATAAAACATATCTGATTGAGTCATCTTGTTAAACAGAAATCTCTTTTTTAATTGGATCATTTTGATTATGAATTTGAAAGGAATGTAATTTATGTTTTCTTGGGTTTTTTTTCTTTAAAAGATCGCCTACTTTTCTTGCAGCTGCTCCAGTTTAGCCTGTAACTTGTTATGTAGCTCCTAAAAAAGATAAACAAGCTTACATGTAACTGCTCAAAATTTTCAATATGCTTTCTTAATGTCATCCAAATATATACAAGTATTAGCCAGGTAACAGTTCACTGTAAATGTAAAAGAGGATAAATACCATCTCTGTGTGACATTTCTCCTCAGATGCAGTGTGAGCACTCTGTATAAAATCCAGGTCCTTCTGAGCTTTGTTTAACATGTTGTTCTTCTCTAAAAGTGTGGCCTCTGTTTTGTGTAACTTTAAAACAATAAAGGTTATAGCAAATGTACTTATAATGAATTCAGGCTTACAGTGAAAAAAATCTTCATTCCCTGTGGTTTTGAAATGTATTTTGAACTTATGAGATGTAACAAATTATGTTTACAAGGAATCAAAATTGTTGGTCCCTGACACTTCCCCATAAGCGTGTTTTATTGTATATTGAAAATTAAACACAGAAATAATATCACTTGTTGAGTCTTCCATATTTGCAAGACAATTAAGCCAAATAATCAACACTAACCTAATTTACACAACACATAAAATGTCACCTAATTCTTAATTTGATTTGCATGGGGGAAAAATTGCCATTTACGCAATTTTACAGCTTATAAAGTTTTATTTTCAATTACTAAATTTTGGTTGTTCTGTTAAGGTTAAAACTTGGGAAAACTATGCCGTTTGCCTGAATGTAGACTTTCCAAATTAAAATAAAAAAGTAAAAAGAAGTAATCTCACTTCTTCAAAAATATATTGCCTTCTCTTATCCAGTATCTATGGAAGCATTTCAGTTGGACCACATAACTGACTGTATTCCACCTCATTCTCACACAACACTGACTTGACCTTACCTAATTCTCACACAACACTGACTTGACCTTACCTCATTCTCCGTGAGGTTGAGTTTATTCTCCAGGTTAGTGATTCGGTGCAGTAGTCCCTGTATGTTGTCCTTCAGACTGGCCACTTCTTTTTCCCTGGTGTCCAGCTGCCTTGACCACTCTTCCTTCTCATGCTGCAATCGCCTGTATAAAATAGTGTGCATTAAGGTATGTCACTCGTCAGCCTTTTAGAAAATTTCAGTCAGAACCTCTTACTTAAAAACTTTTTATTACAATTCAATCTTTATAACATATTTAAATTAAACAATGTAAAATGTTCAACATTCAATTAAAAAACTGCTCAAAAATTCACAAAGAAGCAAGATTTAAAAGGGACTATTTCTTGTGGCGGAAGGATATTTAGCAGAAAATTCTGCAAATCTACACATTTATTAAATTTAATATCTTGGAACTTTAGCCTCATATACTTTTTCTCAGAGAATATTTTCCGTTATGATATGCCTGGAATATTAAATATAGGTCTCAATTTATATTATTATAACAAAATTTACACCGTCACTCAACAAACATTGCCAAGAAATGAAGATATGTTAAGGAAGTTGAGATAAAATTTACACAGTTTTTTGCCTGAAAATTGCATATTTTGACCAATATTTCAAAATCTACATCACTGACCCCAACTTTTTCTTTCATTATTTTAAACTACTCGATACTTTTGACTGATCAGCACTTAAGTCGTAAAAAGTTTGATACAAGAAAATATTCTATTGCCTATTTAGATTTTTAATACCCCAAATATGAGACTTTTTTAGTGCAAAAAGGTCACACGATAGTTTACGCGCATTAACTTGCATGATTTGTTCAATGATAAATATTATTCAAACTATTTTACGTAAAATAAGATTATGTTTATTGCCATGGTTACATCTTATAAAATATGATAACGGTTAAAGTGATTAACCAAAGAGTTACAATTTAAGTGCAAAAAGGTCAACTTAATTGTACCGTAGCTCAGTTAGATGCACAATGACCCCCCATTTTCTCTGCGATTTTGAGTCATACTATATGAGTACTTATCCAAACAAGAGGCCCAAGGGCCTTAACGGTCACCTGAGTATAATACAACAATTTAGAAGTTAAATACACTGATAGTTGAAGCTTTGTTGCCCTAAAGCAAGAGAAGTAGGAAGATCAGGATCAACAAAATAATTAGTCTAGTATTCAGTATCAACTCATAAATTAAGTTCTAATCTGTCCCCCACTTAACACTATGCAGACTATTAACAAACTATTAGTGCTTCTGTACTATTTATAAACCATACTAAGACCTCTAGCATTGACCTCTCTTATGGTCTTTGAAGAACTTTTAATAAGATAAGTTATTTTTGTCTCATTTTTATTTATCTATAACTTACAAGTCTACCTGTTTATTAAAACTAAGAAAGTACTTTTTTAATTATACAATAAACATTCTTGCATAATTATCTTATTCTATTAACCTACCTTATTTACAGTGATTAATTATCAAAGGTGAATGGAAAAGGGGAATAACTTCTCTCAGTAGATTACAAATTAATAGAGCCCTGCCCAGGACCAGAATGCTTAGACCAATGGTCCAGATGTTTAAAAATCTGGTAGAAATACGCTTACTCATATCATTTAAACTTTTACTCAGTTTGCTTCCAATATGTCCAGAAGCAGAGAAGAATTTCACAGGTACAATGCATTTTCACTACAGATTCAACAAAGCCTTACCCTAACACCAGAACCCAATACCAAGGGTCAAGAAATTTACAAATTTGGAAGAGTTACCCTCATCATCATAACTATGGACTTCAAAGAATTAACACTTTTCCACTATATTATCAAAAGCCCCCCCCCCCCCCCCCCTTCGTTATGCCAGAACCCCTGACCCTAGGACCACAAGATTTAAAAATTCTGTTCGAAGCTCCCATTTTCATCATAGCTAAGCAATTTATTTATCAGCTCAACACAAAGGAGCAGACAGGATTAATTAATGATTAATAAAATTAATGCTTTTTCACTATATAATCAATAGAGCCCCCCCCCCCCCCCCTCCTCAAGAACCCCAAAAACTGAGGCCATATATTTAAAAATTTTGGAAGAGGCATCCTTGCCTATCATAATCATGCACTTAGTTTGTTTATATAATCTCCAGTAGCAGAGAAGAAGATTTTCAAAGAATCAATGCATTTTCACTATATAATCAATAGAGCCCCGCCCTAACACCAGAACCCCTGACCCAGGGGCCAAGAAATTCACAATTTTTGAAAAGGCATCCTTATGCATCATAACCATGTACTTAGTTTGTTTAAATAATACCCAGGAGCAGAGAAGAAGATTTTCAAAGAATTAAAGCATTTTCACTATATAATCAATAGAGCCCCGCCCTAACACCAGAACCCCTGTCCCAGGGGCCATGGCTTTCACAATTCTGGAAGAGGCCCACCTCCTCATCATAACTATGTACTTAGTTTATCACCTTAATGCCCAGGAGCAGAGGAGAAGATTTTCAAAGAATTAATGCATTTTTACCATATAGTCGATAGAGCCCCGCCCTAACACCAGAACCCCTGACCCTGGGGCCATGAAATTCACAATTATGGAAGAGGTACTCTTGCTCATCATAACTATGTACTTAGTTACTTTATTTAATATCCAGTAGCAGAGAAGAAGATTTTCAAAGAATTAATGAATTTTCACTATATAATCTATAGAGCCCTGCCCTAACACCAGAACCCCTGACCCTGGGGCCATGAAATTCACAATTTTTGAAAAGGCACTTTTGCTCATCATAACTATGTACTTAGTTACTTTATTTAATACCCAGGAGCAAAGAAGAAGATTTTCAAAGAATTAATGCTTTTTCACTATATAATCTATAGGGCCCCGCCCTAACACCAGAACCCCTGACCCTGGGGCCATGAATTTCACAATTTTGGAAGAGGCACTCTTGCTCATCATAACTATGTACTTAGTTCCTTTATTTAATACCCAGGAGCAGAGAAGAAGATTTTCAAAGAAATAATGCATTTTCACTATATATAATCAATAGAGCCCCGCCCTAACACCAGAACCCCTGACCCTGGGGCCATGAATTTCACAATTTTGGAAGAGGCACTCTTGTTCATCATAACTATGTACTTATTTCCTTTATTTTATACCCAGGAGCAGAGAAGAAGATTTTCAAAGAAATAATGCATTTTCACTATATATAATCAATAGAGCCCCGCCCTAACACCAGAACCCCTGACCCTGGGGCCATGAATTTCACAATTTTGGAAGAGGCACTCTTGCTCATCATAACTATGTACTTAGTAACTTTATTTAATACCCAGGAGCAGAGAAGAAGATTTTCAAAGAAATAATGCACTTTCACTATATGATCTATATAGCCCCACTCTGGGGCCAGAACCCCTGACCCTGGGGCCATGAATTTCACAATTTTGATAGAGTGCTCCATGCTTATTACAATGATGCCAACAGTTTGACTGCTTGATGTCCAGGAGTAAAGAAGAAGATTTTTAAAGATTGCATTATTTTTGGTGGTTTTAGCCCCACCCCTCAGGCCCCAGGGGGGCAGGGACCATGAAATTCACAATTTTTGTTCCCCTTCACCCATAGATGCTATATGCCAAAATTGGTTGAAATTGGTTCAGTGGTTCCAGAGAAGAAGCTAAAAATGTTCAAAAGTTTACGACCGATTGACGACGAACGACGTACGACGACAGACAAAAACAGATAGCAATAGGTCACCTGAGTGACTCAGGTGACCTAAATATACTTCTCAAAAAATCCTTGATATAACAAATTTCACGAGTGACATACCTTAAGAGGTTACTCAAAGACACCCTCTAGAGAATACAAAATGGTTATCTTGTACTTTTTTCCCTTATTGATAATATATAAAGTTTGGTAAAAGATCATCAGTTACTGAAGATAAAAAACTTAATTTATATCTAAACAATCCAGTTTTGGGCAGAAAAGTTCAGAGGAGTGTATTTTCATGCCAGCATTCCTAATTTCATTCATCTGACCCCCCTTTTACCTCTCTGCCTCATTCCTAGCCTGCTCTGCTTTGTCCAGTTCTAGTGAGATGGTGTGGTACCTCGTCTTCAAAGATGCCAACTGTAATAGAGATAAACAACCAGCCTTACAGAGATGTTGCATATGGAGCATCTTATTACAAGTAGATATTAAAAAGAATGAAACGTACATGTATGCAAAAGGACTATAAAATAAGTTTATGATGAATCTTGGAATGTAGGAAACAAATTATGACAAAGTAATACTGTATATCGCCAATTTTTGTAACACCTCATCTTCTTCTTTGATATTTATTAAAGAGAAAAAATTTTTCTCACTCATAAATATCAGAAAATTGGGTTTTATAAAAATTTTGGATATTGTATACAATTGTTAAAAATAAAAGTATATGAAAGAATGAAAATTCTGTGAGTAGACAATCCCACGTAATTACAACAAAAATAAAAGTTTTCCAAAATAAAAAGTGAGTTACAGTATAAGCATACAAACCTCAGCCTCTAGTTTATCTTTGGTGGCCCTCTCCTTCTCCAGTACTGAGTTAATGACGGAGATCTCCGTTCTGAGGTTACTAGTCTGTAGATTGTATTGGATAGTCGCGTGGGACAGAGCCTCCTCATTCAGTTTAATCTCGTTCTTCAGTTCCTCAATTTTACTCTGCAGCTCCTCGGTTTCTGTGGATAACATGGTCACCTCATCTCGATGGCGAAGTCTCTGCTTCTCAATTTCCAGCTAAGGAGTAAGGAATAAATTGATTGTTATGTAATAAGATGAGAACATTTCATGACAAAGTGCTTGGACCGATACCAACTGCTCAGGGTGATACCAGGGCCGAAATCAAAACAGCAGTGTGATATTCTATATATTTTACGGATTTAAGATTCAATAACAGTACAGATGGGGTTAAATAAAATGGCAGTACCAACACTCTTATTCGTTACTTTTGTTTTACCTTAAATGCATTGTTCTCGGCCCGTAACTTCCTCAGTAACTCGTTAGCAGACTTCCTGTCCTCATCCACCGCCTCTAGTTTGTTTTCTGCTTCTGACTGCAATCACATAATATAAATACTACACTATTTATTAAGTTGTACATGCAGATACAATTTGATGTGCATGGAGGAAATCAATATATTCAACAATTAAAAAAAAAAATTTATATGTACAAACAGCAGTAACTTTCTTGACACTAAAATGTTTAAAAAAAATTTTCTTCAGATAATTTTAAAAATTATGATACAAGCATAAATGCTCCTCGATAGTTACATATCTTTTGCTACCATCACCACCACCAGCAAAATAATTTACACTCTACAATATTCAGGATTATGTTGTAAAATTTAAAGTTTAAATCAGGGATGCACAATATCTACAGAAGCAAGTAGATCAAAGTGTGAAATGCAACCTTATCAAAGATGAACAACTTTCTACCATTTTTATCAAAGGAAACAATTAATCTACATTTTAAGTATGAGACAGAAAAACTATGAGGAACACGAAGAAGAGAGGGAAGAATTAAACATCCAACACCAAAACAAGCAGGCATGAAATGTTAATCAAATTCAGCTGAAATGTCAAATGTATGTGTCTAAAATCTTACATCTTCATCATCATCATCAAAGGGCAGAATATCCTGAAATTAAGGTATGGTCATGTGATATACATGTACATGTGAATACACATCAAAACAAACTGTGAATGTTAAAGATTTATTGTGCATCAAATACTCAAAGAGGACCAAAACAGTTACTGTATTCTTTGCAAGTAATCAAGAATAAAGTTCAGGCAGATCAAAAGAATAAACATGTATTTACTGAACTTTAATCTTGACATGTAAAAATGTTAGATGGATGTAATCCTAAAGGTAATAAAAAATATATAAGTACCACCTTACAGTCTATAAAAAACTATTAGATAGACTACTCTGTTTATACTTTATAGGCTGAAATTTTATAATTACTACTACATGTAATAAATGATAAAAGTTTTAATCTTGCTAGAAACATGCTCATAAATAAATCCATAAGAGTGGCACATGATTTCCATATAATGTTAATGATCACACACATCATCACAATCATGAAGAAACAGAAATTATTGAAGACACCTTCAAACAAAAAGACAAGAACCTGCTCACCTTTTCTGCCTCGGATTTGATTTGTTCGGAGTGAAGGGCCTGCTGGATCTTTTGCTGGTCCTCATTAAACTGTTCCTGGAGTTGCCGTGCATTCCTCTCATTTTGAAGTTGTCTCTGAAGATCTGATTTTTCATCCTCCAACTAAACATAAGACCTTTATTGTGAATGTGTATTTTTTTGTTGTTGTAAATTTACAGAAAAACTACATTAGCATTAACGCAGCATATAAACAATTATAGAAGATCTCATAATACATGTACATAGCAATATCCTTCCTCATCCCTTTAACATCTGACCTGCCCAGGTAAATTCATTAATATTTGACCTAGTAAATTCATTAACATTTGACCTGGAAAATTCATTAAACTTTGACCTGGTCAATTCATAAAACTAATTACAGTACCTGTTTGATGTTATTTTTTGTGGTCCGGAGATCCAGTTGGAGATTCCTCATCTGGAGTTCTGTCTTCTGTTTTTCCTCCAGCTCACTATAAAGGGAATAAAAAAGACTCAGTTAAATAGCAGTCAATTAAAATTCCTAAGCTACTTTTATAAGGCCTTTTCATTAGATAGCTTTTAATTATTGTAATAAAGATAAACACATCAGTGTGTGAGGAAATCACTCTTCAAACTCAGTTCTTATTTCTTCTTCATACTTTGCAATTAGCTATCTTGTGTATCTCCATACTATTTTCTTCCTAGAAATATTGTTCAACAGTGCATGTGTGTGTCTTACTTACTTGGTGAACTGTTCCTCTTTGCGAGCAAGCTGTTCCTTGGTTTTGGTGAGTAATGTCTCGGCATTTTTCCTCATCTCAGCCTCCTCACTGAGATTGTACTCCAGATTCCGGATTTTCTGCTCCATATCAAGCTTTGTCTGTTCCAGGGAGGACCTCATCTGGCTCAGATTGTCTATCTTCCTATTCAACACACAATCATTCACTCATACATAACATATTTTGATGCCTGGAGTTATCATTTTCACATTTAATGGTAAAAGTCAGAAAATTTCCATCAGTAATATTTGGTTTCTTAAAAATTTAAGGTACTGAATTTCCTACTGGACACAAATTTTGTGAAAATTAAAACAGTTCACACAATTCTAGTTTCCGAAAATTCTCTTCATTGACAATTCCATCTTTGACTCATTATATTATTTGTTTATTGCACTTTTTTGAAGAACATTTTACTGTAATACCCCTTTAGCTTATTTGAGGTCACCTTGACCTTGACTTACTTGAGGTCACCAAGTGACCTTGACTTACTTGAGAAGTTCATTCCTCTCCTTGTTGAGTGACCTGATCTTGTTGTCCAGGGTCATCCTTGTGTTTTTCTCCTGGTCCAGCCTCTTGTTCTGTTCATGCATATGTTCCTGTAGCTTCAGCACAGTAGCAGGATCTACATTAACAATGAGTGTGTCTGTGTACAGTCCCTAGAGCAATGCTCATTACAAAATATCTAATATTGCTAATGCTGGGTCTTTATTTAAAAAAAAATTCTCTGACTTTATCATTATATCTGAATCTGCATAGATCACCTCTCAATGTAGATAATGACAAAAATAAGAACTTAGTAAAATTAGATGCTGAGCAAACAGAACTTTACTCCAATGCCTAACACATGCTATCTTATAAGTTTCTTTGGGACACAAACTTAAGTTCAGCTAGATGTTACTTCTAAAACAAACCTGATAGATTCATATTAGCTAGGACGTCTTTTCCGTAAGGAGAGTTGGTCTGGTAGATCATGCTGTCTCCATTCTCTGTAGAGGTGTAGGAAAAAGCATCATCATCAGGCAGATCTATCCCCCTGTAGGGTCCGTAGTTACCCCCAGGCAGGCCCCGCAGATAGGTCCCCATATTGTCTGCGGGTCTGGAAAAAAGAAACAATACCTATAAATTTAAAATATTTGTCTGGGTTTTTTTTTTTTTTTTGACTTTTCTCAATATATCTGCCAGTGGCTTTTGTTATGTCGCTGGCAGCTAAAACTCCTTGCCTAGAGAGGAGGAATCAGCAAAACACTAATACAATAATGAATATGATTTTTCTCATTTTTTTTCAAGTTATTTCTTATAATTTTAGGAATATATATACTATTTATCCTTAAAATGGATGCTCAATTTGTCTCATGCCCAACTCTGGCTCTACCAAATCATAGCTGGTATGCAATAGGGGGAGGGAGGTTAATTATAAACTCTGACATAAATATCTTCAATTTTGCTTAACCCACCTATGGACCAAATTTTCAAGAAAAAAGTCTTGAAGAATAACTAATAAAAAAAAAACTGGCTTAAACTCCTTATTTCTAGGGTAATCTAGATGTGCATCACCTGCTTGCTATAAACAACTGTAACTTATCAAAGGTAACACATATTTTTAAATGATTTTAATATAAAGCATTATTTGTAAAATATCAATCTTTTTGAAAACTTTAGAAAATACAGAATGATTTTTTATTTACAGTGACTTAAAATTTATTTATAAAAAACTAACATACCTCTATTTCACCTGCCCTTCTAGACATATCCTTTGATTTGTTTACATTGTATCCATAGAATAACTACGGGAAAATTTTTGTGCAGGTGTTCTTTACTTTATGGGCAACTATGATGTCATAAGACAATTGGTGACATCATAATTGACTATGCATCTACCTCATAAAAATTCAAAAGGGAGATTTTGTGCAGGTGTTCTATACTTTACATACAAGTATGACATCATAAGACAATTAATGACATCATAATTTATTAAGATCCTATAAAATCTCTCAAAACTCTGCTAATAAGGAACATTTTTAATTGATTTACTTTTACTTGGTAACTTTGAAGGAAACTAAATTTTCAAGCAAAGTCTCTTCAAAGTTAAATTTTAAACAGGAGATAGGGTTGAAATTTGAAATATTTTAACAACCTGTCAAAATCAAAATCTACAGAGTCTTCATCATCCACACTCATGCCATCACTGTGCATGTTGGGAGGAGAGGTGCCAGCAGTGATATGAGGGGTGTGTCTTTTATGATTGACAGCAGGGGAGGAGTTGAAGGAGTTGACTCCTAGACTGTGGTTATGGGAAAAGGCGGGGCCATCGGATCGATTCTTCTGTCCACCATGGATGTCAGTATCTCTGTGGGAAAAAAAAAACTCGTGCAGGACTCAAATAAAAAGAATGTGATAAATAATAAGTCTCTTTCTGTATTTGCATTAACAGAGAGAAAATGGAAAAGAAAATTCAATATCTTCAATAAAAGCATATACTAGTGCACACATATAAACATGGAGATCGGTGTGATAATTTTGTTGAACTTTAAATGCTTTCTAAAATTAATACCAGTATGTACATATAAAGCTAGTGCTGTTCACTTAAAATAAGGTCAAGCATATGTTCAATAAATAAAATCTTTATCAGAAAAATTAAATTGATTCACAAAATGAACATTTGATAAAGAAAATCTGGTATTTTGGCACCTCACTCAGTAAACTCACAGGCACTGGGAGAGAGAGGGAGAGATTTAAATATTTTTAATATCAAAAGTTAACTTAAATCCCTCTAAGATTAACTAATTCTTCTAAATTAAATGCCTCTTTTAGAGTTATTAAATTTTTAAACTTCTATTAAATACAGCAAGAAAAATTCATTTTTTGAAAAATTAAATCTTTTCAACTCACGTGTGGCAAAAGTGTGCATAAAATAGACCATCAATATGGGTTGAAATTGTCTGTGTCACATTAATCTTAAAAACTCAACAAAGAAATTTTGAAAACATAGAAAGTGTACTGTATCACTTTACTTAAATTTCCTCCACTCTAAATTTTCTCACAGATTGCATATTCAAACAAAAATATTTGATTTTTGCAACATAAAAGACATGGACCTGTTGTACACATATAAGGTCAACATTGGCAAATAAATCTTCTGGTTTGACAGCCATTAAAGAGTTTCACAGTTAAATCTAAATCTATTCACCACCCAGAGATTCTATCTATATAGAAAAATTAATGTACAATAACATTCCCCTTACTTGGTTTAGCAATCATATCCAATATTTTTACTGCTAAATGCACCAAAATCAACATTCTTTTAATTATGTAGTGATATATATCTTGGTCGCATAAAATATATTTCATGCAAGTACATGAATAAATAAAGCATGAACCTCTAAAATTGATATGCAGTCTGATAAAATTTTGATATAGATATCAGAGATTTAATATTGCATAATCAATAATCAATATGACTGTTGAGCAATGAAAAAAAGGAAATAGAGGCAATTTATCACGGAAAAATTTCTAAGCGGATCAATAAAATACAGCACTAAAAAGAACGGAGAAGTTATTTTTGCCCCATTCTTCAAGTTCTTCAAGACTTAGGCTGTCAAACTTGACAATTTATGTCTGACCTACATTTATAAATTGAAATAAAAAATATGCATCTCAAGATTTGGGTTTGATCTGTGATTTACCAAACTGTTATGATCTACACAATGTGGAGGGTCCATGAGCACCATTTTAAATCTCCAGTAGTTTACATATACACTTGAAAATTCTGTACACAATGTCAGAAACTGTCTTCTATGTCAATTCTAACTCCTTTGTTTGTGACCACTGATATTAGTTTTGTCTCAAACATTTAAAAGTTCAAGACAATACCTCATGAACGAAAAGAAAAGAATTCGGGGTCCTCAAACCTGAGCACCATTTTTTTCTTTTTGTCTACAGTGTAATTAGACATCTCATCATTTATCAGCATGGCCTAATTTCTAAATTATATTTTACTGCATGATCTATAGAAGTTGTTTGAAAAGAATGATTCATTGCATTCTGGACTGTAGAATATTGATATTTCAAATGAAGAAAGCCTTGAAAATGAGGAAGGGGTATAGAAAAGCACTACCAATAATAATTAATAAATATCCTCCAATAATATTGAATTACCTTTCCAATAATCTCAAGAAATAATGAACGAATGAAAAACTAATGCAGTAAAGAGAAATTTTCACACTTATAAAGCATCATGTAAGAATTTCTAAACTCAGCTGTATAGTAACTTATTGGTATGTATACCGTATATCTTTAAAAGTGACATATAATAAAAGAGGAGATCAGCTTTACAAACCTTAAATATCTTGATAAAAGATCCGAACATCCAGTTCTATCAAAGGTGTACTCCATAGTTCAATAGTGAAGGGATAACGAAGTCATTGATAGTATTCCCCTCAAGTTTCAACAGTTACTCAACTAATGTAGTCCTCAAACAGATCTAATTCTCTCTTCACAGTGTTTCTTTTCACATTTTTAGAAAAGTAAATTGCAATCACGTTTAAAAATTTTTCGGATCACAGTCCTCAAACTGTGTATTTAAATTAAGCCTTATATCTCCTCCAATGTCCATTTGTCATTTTAAATCATGTCAAATCCTCCCCAATCTCTGAATGTGTCCCTCACAAAAAGTAAACTGTAATCCCCTCATTATGTACTTAATAATAACAGATTGCCCCCTCTGTTACCAGAATTCTAACCAACAGAATAATATGACTGTCCCAGAAGTTACAAGTCTCTGATGCAAACCTGAAGTTATTTTTCCACTGTCTTGCTACATTTAAACTTTGGATACTGATAGGTAATCATTTTAAATCCCGGACAGTGAAAAGAACTTTTCATCGTGTTAGGATATGAGATAGTCAATGATTGTATTGCTGACAGTTTCATGTTTTTGTCGTAGGTGAGCAGCCAAAGACAAACATGATTAATCCATATCAAAGCCTCCAAAAAATATTCCAACTTGAAATAAAAACAGATCAGGCGTGCGAGTCTGAATGTGTGCACTCCTCGGAGCATTCAGGTAGAAAGTAATTTTACCCTGATCACTATCCCAGTAAATAATGCAAATTTTACACACCGCTAATCTCGGAAAACAAACCCCGAATTAGGTAAAACAAACATTGGAATACACTCTTGACATACTATCCATTCAAGTTAAATTCCGGCCTACAAATATTATGTAAACCTAGTATAATGTTTGGAATTCCACCCATGTGTAGACTCTAAAACTGTTTAGTTCTATATGTAAAAAATATTGGGTCAGCATTAGTTAAAATTTAATCAGCTTAAAAAATGAATAGTGAAATTTAATTCCAATCAAAATGTAAAAATGGTAAAATAAGCAATTTTGGAGAAGTTTTAGTATGTTAAATATAATAAAATTAAATCATGCTAAATGTACCTATCTTTCTCTGCATTTAGAGAGAGGTTCATTAGGTCTACTAAAGATTTTTGTTTAAATCCAAAATCTTAATTGGCACAACAGTGACTTATTTAAACCAATGCAAATCTTATCTTGGCCAAGAACCTTAGTTTGATTCCAAGCCTTTTTTTCAAGATTTGAAAGTATCAGCAGGAAAAGACTGAATCTCTTGTATCCTTTAATATATATTTTCTTGTATTATTTAATATGCAATCAGGCAGTATTTATATACTCTCTCTATATATGTTTTTAAAATTGTCTTATGCTGAGCAAGGCTTTTGAAGTATTCATGAAAACTGCACCTGTGTCCAGATCTTGTACATTAAACCCTGTTTTACAACATAATTTAAACTTGCCTTTAATGCTAAAAATCAAATAAGTTCTTTTTTAACAATTAATTAAAAAAATAAATTCTTCACACTTGTGAAAGAGGAAAAGCTTGAATGTCTATATTAATACAAAGTCTTCTTATAAAGTATATGCACAATAATTAAAATTTGGGGAAATCACAGAAAAAAATAACTTTAGGATGTTGTGATAGACAAATAATAAACCTAAACAATTTCAGAAAGACTTAATAATATGAAGTTTTTAGTTCCAGTAAGATAATCTCTACTTTTAGAACCTCCTCGAAGACTGAGACCAATAATCATAGCTTACAAGTGCTGACTTTCTCACATATTAAATGCTCTTCCTTTGTAGAAGAAGATTTCATAAATTAATTTGTTCAATATTTTAAAATAAAATATTTACATTTATTTGTGTATGGCTGTCCTAACAGGTGCAAACTGACCAGAAGGTCACCGTGTTTTTCAACAGAATGGCAGATTAATCTTTGTGCTATGTACAGTATTTTAAAACAAACCTCAAAATTTATTTTTACAAAGTACATGGTAAACATTTCCAGAGCTTTTAACAAATATAATTATGTTTATTTTATATGGGCAGGAAGATTCAAAACATGTTAACCTTATCAAAAGGCAGGGCCAAAAAACAGAGCCACATACATGTAGTCGGTAAAAGTGAACACACTAGGATTGGTCAGTATATGTAACATAGTACATGGATGACTGGAAAGTAATCCCAATCAGTAGTAATTTACTGTGACCTCATTATCATCAGTTCCTTAATATAAGAGGAGCTGATTTTCTTTATTAATGGAATATTTAATCAGAAGTAGAAAATATTCCTAAAATTTCTTTCACTTAATTCATTCAAGCTCATAAATCGATCCTAAATCAATGACATATATAATACAAGTATGTATTTTGTTATATTTCAGTTCTTCATACCCCAACTGTGCTGAAAGCTCATTTATCTGCCTAATTCGGTTTGTAATTTGTCTGTCTTTTGTTCAATTGTAAATCATTTGCCTTTCAATTTTTCATTTAATATCTTCAAGAACCATTTTAAACAAATTCAACAGAGCATCCTTGCATGGTATAGGAAATTTAATTTTGCTAAAATGATTATATAGGGCTGAAAACCAGCTCGATCCTTTTATAGGAAATGACAATTAGGAAATAGTGAACCTTATCAGAGGAGGGTGAATTTAAAATGGGGCAAATTCAAAGAACACAATATAATTTCTTATACAAAACTGTGACTGGGTGAATTTAAAACGGGGCAAAATTGTTCGCAAGTCCAAAAGGGCAAAAATAAAACAGGGCGAAAATAGCCCTGTATACAGTATACTGATTCTTAAAAAGCAAAAATACTCTATGTTGTCACACAGCAATTAAGTGGATAATACCAGTACATGTATTACTCTATGTAGTACATGTACCCATACACACATAATATGTTAAAGTACATTTGCATCACAATACAAGAAAGATAACTCTCCTGGGAATATAACACACTAAGTTTCAAAACTGCTTTGTGAACAAAACCTGCATTGCAAAAGGAATATACATATATATACAATGCAATGAAGTTTAAAAATACAAACTAATACATTTTCTTCTAATCAGTTTACAAAAGACGTAGAAAATTTTAACTTTTTAAGCTTTTAGATTACCTACCATAAGAAAACATGCATGTGCCTGCATTAAATGCTTAATTCTGAACCACAGAGGTTGTACATTGTATATATATGATATCAATAAAGTTTTAAATGATTAACAAGATCCTAAATAATAATGACTCACAAGTGTTAAAGTCTTGATCAGAGATTATCAGAATTAATAACTAACTCAGCTGTTAATCCTAATACAGACTTCAGAGATTTTTATCTACATTACAACCAGATAGATTTTAAAGCTTAGTATACAAAATATGATCACAATATCTGATCAACGACCTTAAGGCTTTTTTACTATAAAATCTACAACTGGCTTTAACTGCCAAAAAGGTCTGCAAGAACCTTGACTTGAAAAAAAAAATAATTACGCAATTATGCTTACTGGCAAATGTGAAAATGTTTTTAAACCTAACAATGAGAAAAGACAACAGAGTGTCTGTTGTGATGGTTTGTGTGGTGCTTAATCTACAGGTATTGTATAGACTTAAATAATCTCCTATTGTAGAATTAATGAACTGTCCCAGTGCTCCTTGCCACAAACCCACTGTTGATCAATAATGCAAAATCTTGTGCTCTGTAAAGAAAGGGCTTAAATACATGTATCGAAAGAAAAAATGTACAACCAATTTTCACCAGAAAATCTACAGATATTAAGGAAATATTGATTCAATTAAAAACTAATTTTAATTCATGTTTTTTGTTTTCAAAGCCTATATTGTTTAATTCATTCTTGCTTACGGTACACGTCACCAGTAAAACTCAGTTTGCGACCATAAAATCAGCATTAACGGTCGCAAATACCAAATTAAAAGATAGTTATTTCTTAATTTACACTTTATACACATTTTTAAGCATGCTTGCAAACCAATATTAGCAAATTATCCCATTGGAATTTAAGTGTGGAATCTTTTCTAAAAATTCTTTAATTAAATACTGCATTAAATACAAAAGTTCTTCCCAGTCATTCAGACAAAATCTGAATGTGATTTAACATTCTTATTGATAAGTAATAAATATGAAAAGTTTACACAATAACAAATAAACGGAAAACTTTCTTTCCATCAAGATTCAGGTGAGCTAAAGCTCCCTAGCACATGAAGAGATATGAAGACATGAGATATATTACATAATGAGCTTTTAGTACATGTATTATTATAATATATGTTAATAACTTTTTGTCTATTATTTATTTAATTGGAGATCTTAAATTAAACTCTAAGAAATATGACCATATTTTATCAGAATGACAAAAACCAAAACTCAACAGCAACACATATTATAAATTTATAATAATATAGCCACTGACTTAGAGAGGATAAAAACATAATTGTTTTTTCAGAATGATTCTATATCCCTTTAATGATATGTTGTACAAACTCAACGGAAAGATGTCGGACAATATCCTACTTTGTGTACACGTGCATGGACCTTACCTGACAACTAGGTACGAAATGAGAATCCATTGTGAAAATCACACTTACACTTAGATGAGATAAATTACAAAATTTGCTTCCAAACACAAGAACATCACAGGACAAACTCTGGTCTATCTAGGTAGGTCCTTTATTCCAGCAGAAGTTCTGGAGAGAGTTTGACAAACACAGACAAATAGAGACTATTGACCACCCTCTAGAGTATGTCAACACACACTACATAAATATTATCAAACTTAACAATAGATCAAAAATAACTATCTATTATCCTAGTGAAATTATCACAAGCACCCCATTTAAAACCTGAACATAATCATTTATACAGAAATTAATTTAAACCTGTTAGCATGTACAATGTGCCCATTCAATATTAAGGCATGAAAGCATGCAACTGTCATAAATATAATGTGTAGATGTGGAATTTCACAATCAAATGCCATTAGAAAAGAGAAAATAAACGAAGTACATGTCTTTCTGAACTAAATACTTCATGTTAGACTGACGTTATAATTATTCATAATGTAAATCAGGCAATTACTGAAGGAAATCAGATCTATTAAGATTTTCACTTAATATATGCAATTACTTTGTGTTCAATATGCGAAATCAGATTATTTCAAAAGTATCGGACCTTCTCACAAAGCAAATACATCTAACACTTTTATTTTCTCCCATTTGGTCTTTCTTACTGTGATTATAAACCTGCGTGTTGTTTTGCTTAACTTTTGCCAAAGTAAAAGCATTTATTTACCTGTTTTCTGCATAGTGGATGAAGAAACTCCATTGATCAATCAACATAGAATACCGTACTATACTACAGCATAAAAAATTCTCATCTGTACATAAAATTCACTTTAAAAGCAGATCAAAATCCAATGTTTCCAATAACTAAATTACAGGCTCATCAAAAATTAAGATCCACCCTTCCATTTTACTCAGTCAAGCATTTCATCAGCTTTTTCCAGTGTACAAAAAAGATATCACTCCAAGTTTGATACACTTCATTAATTATTAAGGGGGACTGTTCTCAAGGGAGATAATTTCAACTTATCAACATCTGTCAAGGAGTTTCATGAACTCCTATGCCAATCAATAATTACTTTTACAATACCTGAAATGTAATATTCAACACTATAAAAAGATCAAGTAAATCCAATACCAAATGGACTAGAAAAAGGGACAGACATGGCCTTTCTGGTTTACCAGCTAGAGGACCTTTTTTTTTTAAATTTATTTTTTAATTTAAAGTTGGTAATTCTGTGATGTCTTTATAAGTAAGCCCCTTTACAAATGTTCATTACAACAGAAAAGATGTACCTAATTTACTGTAGCATGATTTATTATATATAATTGTGCTCTAGCAGATCATCATGGTAGCTGCATGGCTGCATTTCATGGAAGATAACTCTTAGCAATTTTCAAATCAGTACATTGTATTACTGATGAGAAGATAGCTAGCTATCACTTCATTCATTCAAACATACATGTCATACATCCATCTTTTGATACCTCCTCACAGAGAATTACCAAGGTAACAGTCATATAACATATGGTTTTCACTCTGAAATCAACTACCCAAAATAAAACCTTTTTTTTTTTGCTTGTTTGTTTGTTTTTTTCAATGAACAAAATTCAAGGAACATTTGAAGCAAAAATCTTTTAAAAGACCCTTGTTTTGAAGAATACACACCTAAAGGTACAAACATTACTGGAATGAAAATAGATCTCCTGAATACAGTTCATACAGAGAATTTATAAATTCTCATATTAGTACAAACTTGACTATAGCTTACTTGTCATATCCGTTATGAAGTTGTTCTGTCACACTGGTCTGGGGAGGGCGTCTGGGGGAGGCTGTGTTGAAACTCGTGGTCACTTCAATCAAGTCTTCCTTCAAGGGTACCTGAGTCTTCTCGATGGAAATTGGGGATTTTTCAACATTCTGATCATCATTTCTAGCAGAAGCTTCCACATACTCTAACTCTGGTTCTAAATCAATCAGGGGAGGGCTACCAGTTTTCACCTGTTTAACTTCCTCTTTGACAGCCTGGGTTTTCACAGAGGTAAAGCCCCTCTCAATGGGAGGGGCCTGGAGATCCTCCTTGCTTTCCAAAGCTATAAATTCCTCTTCCACCTCCTTCTCTGGGGGTTTAGAGGATTCTGATTGGAAGGGTTTGATGTTCAGTCTCACTGTTGGTGGGGTGTCAGGAGATTTTACACCCTATAAGAAAAACACAATACATGTATCTCATACCCACCAAACTGTCTGTCTGGTAATGTGTCATCACAGTTAACTTTGTGGGGAGGGCTTATATAGGCTATGCCTGCTGCTCAATTCAGTTATGTATTTATTACTAATAAAATATGTTCAAAACAAAAAGAAAAAAAAATCACAGTTAATTGTGTACATCTCATATGATGGCTTTCCAAATCTTAAATATAAATTTACTATTTACAAAACGACAAAGAATTGCATTAGGTACATTCTACAACAATAAAGTATAATGATTCATCTTTATAGTGTGTTTAGTTTTTTATTATATATAGTCCTGCATAATGCTGTGTATTTCTTCCCCTAAAACCAAAAAGCTTATTTGAATAAGCAGGGTTGTCCCTAAGAATTGAAATAGCAGGGGACATTAAAAAAGTAGAAGTGTGTCTGGGATTCCTCCCCTAACAGGGAGTTGAGGGGGAATACCAGAATAACCGTGGGATTATGTCATTATAGGTGGGGAATTTCTCAGGCCCTTGGGTCTTAGGGAAAACTCTGAATATTAAGTTACATTTGGAACTGTACATAGAAAATGGATATACCATATACATAATATCATGTGTTTCATGTATTGTTCGTCCTATCAGTGACCTGAACATATGAATTCCTCTGAAATGCACTAGCCACAATCAGGCATGATGCTTTTAAAAGCTTACTAACTACAGAGAGGCAGCTAAATTCTGAAACTACATGGATTTACTAATTATTTCAACAGCTCTAAATTTTCAAACAGCTACTGCAACATTCATAGTAGCAGAATCCGATCTATAAGCTTCAATTCTACAGCCAGAGCTATTTGATGAAATCTCTGTGGGAAAAAAAAAGGTTGTGACTAAAGCATAAATTTCACCGATACATTTTTTTTAACTCAACTGTAATTTAATGCAATGTACATCAAAACACAGCTGTATATTGTAGTTTGGTTAACACTACAACAGTTCCTACATAGCAGAGAAATAGGAAGCACACTAGGAGAAACTTGTTCTTTAATTTCCTTTTTTTTGGTTGCATCTCTAAAGCAGCTTCAACATTACATATTACTGTATAATCATTTTTTTATGCGATATATTAATTTTGCAAAATTGAAGTCAAATGGCGAAGTCAAATTTTTGCATTATTTTTCAAAATTTGAAATGAGGAATACTGTCCAAGCACAAATTTTCATGGAGATAAAATTTCCTTGATTTGTCATCTAAAAAGGTTTCGTGGGAATTTAATTTCATTATAACCCTATTCAATATATAGTCATGTAAAGTTTCATGTAGCTGGATTTAATTTTGTTGTTAATTGTTAACAACAAAATAAACAAAATTAAATTCCCAACAAATATTTCTGCTTTTACAGTAATCTTTTTATTCAAGAGACTCCTACTTAATACCGGTACATTAGGCAATTGAGCTTACTGCAGTTTAATATTTCCATTTCACAAATTGTTTCAAAATCAGCAAAAATAAACACATAATTATACATCATACAATGCATCTGGCCAGGCAAACATTTTTTTCTCCTTTCCCTTGTAAATATTCTTATTTACCATGCTTACCAGTAAAATCATAAATATAAAAATTCAAGATACAGATATATAGGTAGGCTGGAACTACTGACCCCATACATGCAAGGTAACCAATAAGGCTAGGAAAACCCTTTGTCACACCCTGTGTCTCATGTAAATTACAAGGAAGCTCTACCATACACTGTACATGTGGACAATGTTTACAAACTTCAAGATTTCTTCTTTAACACATGAAGTAAAATTTGATACTTTTTTTAGGAGTAAAAAAAAACTCACAAAAAAACAGTAGAGCCTCCTTTAAATTTTCCTGAATTTTCATAAATCAATGTAATTGCACATAAATGTCATACATCTTTTATATGCAAATACAGAATACATTATATAACATATAATATACATTACAGGGGTAATTGGTTATTCGTGGCTATATGAGGTGTATATGTTCTTGGATACAAGAGTATAAATACTATTCATATAATTCTAAGATCTAAAGCTGCTCTACTTCCAATGAATTGACTAAACCTAACCAAACTGATTATATATAATGAAGAAGGCAGGATACAGCAGGTGATTTTCATACCTCAGATTTCATAAAATCTTTCACATGAAGAAAGCTGGCTTTTTTCATCTCCTTCTGTTTATAGACATATATTAATTCACAAAGAACCAGTCTTTGTTTTTAAAAACCAAATTTCAGAAAATCTTGCATAAAAAATTTCTGTCTATAATCTCAGACTAGTTTGTCTGATTTTTATTTCCACATAAATCATCTCTTATCATGCAGTTAAGTTGTACAGTAATAAAACACATTTTACTCTTTTCATAAATGGATATTTTTTTTTTTAAAACTAGCAAAGCAGGTCAGTAAATGCATGTTGGATCATATGACTGTTAGATCACATGATCTGGAATAGGGGGATAATATAGTGGGGGGGGGGATACATTGTAACTGGGTTTCTTACCCGTTTCTGTGACCCAGATGAGGAGTCCAGGGAGGACTGAGATTTCGGGGACAGAGGCTGAGTCTCCTCCAAAGGGTCCTCAGCAATGAATTCTTCCTCCAGCTCCCTCTCCCTCTACAAAGTAGAATGTATTCACTAGTTCATAGGGAAACATGATCATCTTTACAGAAAACTGTCAACTCCATATTCATTTTACTATTGACCACAACATGAACTTTGGTGTAGTATAAAAATATACACTCTCTTATAGATCATTATTATTTTTGTAGCTGCTTGAATTTGTAATACACACAGTATAATTGATTTTAAAGTTATTATACACAGTTTTTCAAATTTTTAACCAAGTCTTATGGCATAGACTGTGTATGATTGAAAGAATATCAAACATGTTAACCGAAGATGAGCAATAAGCACAGTTACAGAGATAACGCTGCCTTACCATCTGTTCCTCCTCTGCTTCCCTCCTCAATCTCTCTTGTGTTAGCCTCTCCTCCTCCTCCCATTTCTGTTGTCGTGACAACTCAGCCTCTCTCTGGATTTGTTCCAGCCTGTGTTCTTCCTCCAGAGCCTGTCTTTGTTCTTCCTCATCGAGTCTGTCTTGTTCTTCCATAGCCTGCCTCTGTTCCTCTTCCCACTTCCTCTGCAGTTCTTCTTCCTTGGCTCTCTGCTTCTGTAACTTATCCTTATCTTGCTTTCTTTCAATCTCCCATTCACTTATAGACTCTTCTTCAATATCCTCAGACACTGAGTGCTCTCCCTTTTGAGAACTCTCCTTTGTTTCTGGCAGAGGAGGTACACCATACACTGGAGGGGCAGATTCTGAGGGCAGCATATCATCCTGAAAAATGTGCAAATGAATTTCAGACTCCTTCTACACCAAAATGCATGTACTTTGCGAATGAAAAAAGGAATTTTTTTTCAAATTGAAACAGGATTGTTTTTCGATTTGAATAACCTTGAAACCACAATAATGAGATATACTTTGAGTTCTAATACTAGTTTCTACCTCTGAGTCCCAGTCTGAGTCTTCATCCTCATCCTCTGAGAGTGGAGTTTCCTGTTTCTTTGGGACGGCTGCAGTCTGGTTGTCAACAACACGAACTGGCTCCATTATCTTCTCTTTCATGTCTGGTACAGGTTGCTCCATCTTCTGGACATCGTTCTCTTCAGAGGGTTGATTGTCTTCATCCTCTTCTTCAACTTCTTCAGTGACTTTTGATTCTTCTTGCTTTGATTTCTAAATTGACATGTAAGAAATAAATTCCTCAAAGTGCATTTACACTGCATAAAAACTGGATCCTTCTTCTGACAACTGAAGAATCATTTCATTAAACACAATATCAGCTGAATAAATAGAGGATATTCAATGTTTTGTAGATGAATATGGAATTTACTTCACGAGTGGGACATGATTTTTTTTATATTTTCATGAGTACGAAGCACGAGCGAAAATATCAAAAAATCATGTCTCACAAGTTAAATAAATAAAATATTCATCTACAAAACATTGAATTTTCTGTTTATTACATTTTCTTAGATTTTCCCTTTCCCTCTGTCTTTTCATAACACAGTGTCATAGGCTGTGATGTCATAGTTGAGCGGTTGAGACGTCATAGCTAAGAGATTGCGAGATTGAAAAACGTTGTAAACATGGATTTTTAACGACATACTTGGAAAAACTTTGGCAGAATAACTATTAGTCTCTGTCAGGATGACTCATTAACTCTATCTTATAACAGGCCAGGGATTTATTTAAAAACACTCTTCGTGAAGAGAATGAAAATCGTAAGTTTTGCCACACTTCTGATATTCTCACACTGTGAGAATACCACGCTTTCATGCTGTGTCAGAATATCACTTTTATTCAGTAAATAAATTACAGTTTAATACTGTATTTCACTGTTAAAAATGTAATAAATTTTTATATACAGACTGATGATTGTCACAAAAAAAAGGGCTGCAAATTTTTGGGAAATGAATGATTTTGCCACTAACCATCTCAGTGAAATATGTCATATTTTGGACCCTGGGAGTGATCCCATCCTCGGCTGTAGAATCCCATTGGCTGGTAGTCTGTGATATAAATATTAAACAAACATCTAAGTAACTGGCAGCAGAAATAAAATTGATGTATAATAAAATATTATACAAAATTGTTTTTTAAGGCATGTTAATACAATATTACTGAAAGTTATCATTTTCTTCATAAAACATGTTTATCTTGGACCTAAATTGTTTTGTTATTATGGTAAAAGAAAAACTCTTTCAAATGAACACACAATGTAATATACGTTTATGCTATTTCTCATAGTGTACTTCTCTTGATTCTAAATAACAGCTAAGAAATGATAACCGTACATTCCATAAATTATCTTCATCTAATTTCTTACATCTATGTGTATGAGTATGTATCAGTGTAGATAATGTGTTGCTACAGAGGAGAGTCATTTTCAAACAGAGACAAGATTTTCAGAAAAAGGTGCCAAAGTAGCATAAGAATACTTAAATATCTACAAGATTATCATATCACACCAACCACCTCCACATAATACCTCAGTGTTATTACACAACAATACAGTTAGACCACCACAGCACAGGTAAACACAGGTGTAAATTAACACAAACACTGCAGACCTAGTATTGCCACAGCATACAGAAACAAAAACAGATCTAGACCTTTCTATGTGCAGAAATGTGCTTCAACACCATCAAATTTAAACTCTCAACCTCTTCATCAGATGGCACTTGTTCTGGTGAATCCTTTGGCTGAGGTTTGTCTTTGACCTTGACCTTATCTCCTGACCTTGAGGCAAGTACTTGGGCCACTTCATGGTCAGTTTCTGGATCATCACTAAGTTCCTCATTTATTTCAGGTGCTGCTGGTTCTAACTGCACCGGAATTTCATCAAGACCCATGACATCTACCCTGGGAGATTCGTCTTCTATGGTCAAGTCTACCACTTCATCATTGGATTCCTCTTGGAATGGTTCCGGAGGTGATACATTCATATCAAAGTCATCACTAGGGGTGTAGTCAAGAGCTATAGGGGAATCCCCTATCCCCATTAAGGTTCCATCCCTCTTTACCTCCTTTAAGGTGCCATCTCTATGGACCTCGATTCGTTTTGGTTTGGGTTCAACCTCACTTTCCTCGAAGTCCGACAACCCATCGTCATCATCAGAGAAGTGGGTCAATTCATATCTAGCTTTCACTTGACTATTTTCCTCAATTTCCTAACAATTCCAAGTCAACAGTGAACATGGTACATACAGAACACAAACAGTTGGCAATAAGACAAAATTTTCATTCCCATGCATTTCTACTCAATGTTAGTATGATCTAAAATTCTCATTATTCTAAGTTTATTTTACATTTTCACTTCCCTGATATGCTAAATGCATATCATAATCAATTAAAAGTTTTACACACATGTACACACTATAAACTACTTACTTGATCTGGGTCTACTTCATTTTCTAAGTCACTGTCCCATTCTGATCCCTATAATACAATATTCATGTAATAAATGAACAATACAAGTAATACAAACAATGGAGAAGGTAGAACTTGATACTTAAACCATTTAAACTCCAGCATCAATGCTTGGACTTCAATTACAATAGCTGTACGATACAGCTACAAACTTACATCAGATCTTGGTGTAATGTGTATGATACAGCTACAAACTTACATCAGATCTTGGTGTAATGTGTATGATACAGCTAAAAACTTACATCAGATCTTGGTGTAATGTGTATGATACAGCTACAAACTTACATCAGATCTTGGTGTAATGTGTATGATACAGTAATAAACTTACATCAGATCGTGTTGTAATGTGTATGATACAGTAATAAACTTACATCAGATCTTGGTGTAATGTGTGTGATACAGTAACAAACTTACATCAGATCTTGGTGTAATGTGTATGATACAGCAACAAACTTACATCAGATCGTGGAATAATGTGTATGATACAGCAACAAACTTACATCAGACCTTGGTGTAATGTGTATGATACAGCAACAAACTTACATCAGATCTTGGTGTAATGTGTATGATACAGCTACAAACTTACATCAGATCTTGGTGTAATGTGTATGATACAGCAACAAACTTACATCAGATCTTGGTGTAATGTGTATGATACAGCTACAAACTTACATCAGATCTTGGTGTAATGTGTATGATACAGTAATAAACTTACATCAGATTTAGGTGTAATGTGTTTGATACAGTAATAAACTTACATCAGATCTTGGTGTAATGTGTATGATACAGCTACAAACTTACATCAGATCGTGGTGTAATGATCTTCTTTTGGGTGTTCTTCTCCACCTCATCTTGGCTGGCCTGTAATGAAATGTAATACATGTAAATATTAACATCAACTCCTTTAATGATAAGTAATATTTGTAAACTTCAACTCCTTTAATGAAATGTAATACATGTAAACCTTTACTTCAACTCCTTTTATTAATGAAATGTAATACACGTACATGTATACATTTACTTCAACTCCTTTAATGAAATGTAATACATGTAAACATCTACTTCAACTCCTGTTATCATGGTAATGAAATGTAAACATTTACTTCAACTTCATCATTACACAAAAGCCATGTAATTGAAAAAAAAAAATGTCTACCATCAATCCAGTCATTTATTTAAATTCATGTACTTCATAATCAATGATTTTAACAATAAAGGATGATGTGACGTACGGCCCCCGGTAAATTGACAAAAAATTAAATGTCCTAATTGTTGCATGCAGCTAATCACTGATATGTGTACCCTTATGGAAAACTATTTTTAACAAAAATAGAAGCGTAATTTGGAAGATATAGATCTTTCATTTGGGTAGGGGTACCATGTTTACATCCGATTCCCATTGAATTTTGGCCCCGCCCCACTCTTTGAAGCCCTTAAAATATACGAGCGCAAGTAGGGACATTTTTCTCCTTTGGCTGGTCACTGTATTTTATTGAAATCTACCTATATGTGAAAGGAGAAAAATGTACCTAACTGCGCTCACATGTTGTTTTATAAAAAATGGTAAAATCTAGCTGCCTTTCCTATTATGAACAGATCGACGAAACTATTTTTTCTGACATAAGAATAAATTCATATGCTAATCGAGGCATTGGCGTGACTTTCTAACTGACCAATCAGCTAAATGAGATGCATTACGAGTGAGTACCACAAAAATACTAAGGAAATTTTATGCTTGGAAAAAAGGCTTTTTTACCTACTTTTCGATAAACAATTTTTTATGCATTTGAGTCACAGATTAGGCACGGATCTACAATTTCCCAGCTCATAGTTACAAACAATTGATTTTTATATATATTTAATTTTAAAGTTTTGTAAAGCGTTTGGTGGGCATGCAATGCGATAGGTCTACACGTATTCCCGAGTATCAGTGAATACAAGTTTCATGTGCATTTCTTGACCCAGAACGGTAAACGCTGAGGTTCCATGCGTATTATTATGTATAAACAGCCTTGGCTGACAATTAAAAGTTTGAAATGTGGTGGAGATAATGTGTAAATTGACCTAAACCATGTGCCTAAGATAAAATGTAAACATAGTAAACGACAGCATGTTTTGTCGTTCTCTCATCGGATTGGACAATTGTTCTCGGTAAGCGACTATGTGCGAAATAATAACAATAGCCATATAAGGTAAATTTCTCGGACATGCATATCCCTCTATTGTACTAAGACCCGCCTATTCTCTTTTCATAAAAGAACATTGTCACAAACCTGGCCGAATGTTAATGTCATAGGGTCTAAAAAATCATAGATAATGCAGTAATCCTTATAATTAAAATGTGTCGGAACTATTGAAACTATTCAAAAGGCGTTGTATTTATTCACTCATGTTTGAAAACTATCAAAATCGTTGTAGATTAAATATAATTCGTCATAGAAAAAGGGGCCCCAGATAGCAGTTATGTCACATCATCCTTTCTAGTGAGTAGGGTATAGGTTATAAAATAAATCTTCAAAAGACTACTTTTTTTAAATGTATGACAATCTCTTACATGGGTACATAGGGATAGAAAAAGGCAAATAATTGAGCAGCTTTATGTTATAAATGAATGATGATTGACCCCTCCCAGGTTCTGACCTGTTTCCAGTTTTTGAGTATCCCTGGCCTGGGGGTAATGGAGGGCTGGGTGGAGTCCCACTCACTCTCCTGATTATCAGGGTCCACCTCTGTTATTTTGGGGGGTGGTGACATGGGGAGGGCAGGTTCCTCATCTGACAGCTCAGAGATTTCTGGTCCACTATCCACATCATCATCTATACCAAGGTCAGCCAGGAAAGCTAGAAAATGTTTGAAGAACAAATAAAACATGGAAATTAGTGTAAGAAATATGAACATCTTTCACTTAAGCTTACTCAAGTGGGAATAATAACTCTAACCATGCATCAAAAAGAATTGAATATTTTTTTCAAACTTTGAAAAGATTTCTATCACCAAAAAACTAGGATGGATTATGATCTTAGAATATGATTTCATTGGTTTAGTTCTACTGCATATAGACTAGTTCCATTGCACCTTAAGCCATTGACATGTCTTAAGTGTTTATCTATCTAGTACAAAAATAAAGAACAAAGCCCCAGTATTTTAATCTAAAAGCCATTAGACAGATAAAATTCACGGTAAAAAGACCAAATGTGTGCAGTGACTTAATTAGTGGCACATAATTGTTTTTAACACACAAATTTTAAGAAAAGACTTACTTTAAAAAAATGTGAAAAATTAAGTGCAGATGATAAAAAACACACAAATTTTAGGCCCAAACCTATAAACTCTAGACTAATATTTACATAAATTTAAATTATTTATTTAAAAACTATAGAGTTGACTCTCTTTGAGTCTGTTTTAGTATCCAGCAAAAGGCAACAAATTTAATACAAACAAAATATATTGCATAATTCACATCTTTTTCTAGATCCACCCAAAAATCTATTCATTTCTCTCTTGCACAAGGGCACATCTTTTCCTAAATTTCTTGCAAATCTGCTCTCATTTTTTTTTCTTTTTATTATAGATATTTTGTACACAGAGTAAGGCAAATATGTTTTAGAACATAATCAGCCCAATTTCATTGGAGGGGTTATTTATAAAGTTAACCTAATTCTTCTTTAAATCATCAACACTTACTCAAATCTACTTTAATGTATACATGCTGATTAATGGATCCTAAATAAATACATATCAAAATGGCAAAGAATAAAACTAACAGTTCTACCATGTAAATAATAAGACTACATATTTATACACTATGAAATCTTTAACAGAATTTTTTACATATTCTATAGTCTAATCAAAATCTAAATGCCATGGAAGCAATTATAGCTCTACATCAGGCTACATGCTAACAACAGCAAAAAAAGCCAGTCAGGTTACTGAGGGAAAGGGTGCAGAAACCATTTTGCTATGTGGCCAGGGAAATGAAGAAAAATTTTTTTTTTTGATTTCTACAGTTGTCCTTATGATATATTTCATTTAAATTTCTATCCAAGAGCAGAACACTTTCCAGATGAAAAATAAGAATGCTTTATCCAAACTTCATTGCAATTATTTACACAATTTAACACTTTTAAATTAGTAGTGTTAACTGATAAATTCAAACACATGAGCAATCACTTCTGAATTACTACCTTATTAATCCTAGTACACAAATTTCCATGGCCACATTAAAAGATATGTGAAAAGAAAATCTACAATCTGAAATAAATCTGAAATACAACCTTTGCCCTGATTTTCATCAGCTGTGAACATGCAATGTAAACAACATCAATAAGTGACATGTAGGAGGTCCTCTAAGGGGACTAAGGCTAAAAGGTTCACCACAGGGAAATAAGGAGTCATTAAATATTGTTGCTTAGATGAGGTAAATACATGCTTTTATGTAATAAAATGTATGCAATGTACATTACATGCATAAAAAATTCCATTACAATTTAGCATGCTTTGGGACCCAGTCTGCTTTTGCATTCTTTTCACTAAAATATCCATTTCATAAAATAATAGCTATTAAAACAATCATTTTTTTTTCTTTTCATAGATATGATAACCAAAACTTTTATATTATAAAATAAGGAAATTCTTTTTTTTTTATATACATATACAGGGCACACCATTTTCTACAGAAAGAGTAATAGAGTAGAAATATTAGTCACTTCAGCATAAAACATCAAACTATTTACCACTTTGCTTGCTCAAGATGCCTTAAAAACATATACATGTCATTCTGTTAGTACATTTCCCACATGCATGCAGATATTTCATGTTAATAGATAATTTCATATACATGATGTATCATATTAAATAACTCAGTTATCTGTTCTAAACCATTATTAATAAATGTATAATAATTTACAATAGATAGATGTTAATGTGTCAACATAGTTAAAACTTAATTTTCAACTAAAAATAAAAAGATATCCTTCATTTAAGCATTAATTAAATTTCAAATACATGTATTTGAATTCTAGTTTAAACTGAATTTGGAACTTTGGAAGTTTTCTTACAAGAAACAGAAAATTTAACTTTGGAATCCTTGAACATAATAGTGAAATTGTAATTGTATTTTCCCCTACCTCTTTGCTTCTCCTTGTCAAAGCCAGCAGATGGTGATAAATTAGACACTCCTGTAGGTAAATATCCAGATGATGAAGTCTAAAAAACAAGATTAATAAACATTAATTTTGTAACATAGCTAATATTACACATAACAAGTACTTGTACAGCAGAATAGTGTTAACAGATAATATACTAAAACAACTAGCTCTGAGAGAATGAAATGTGATTAACAAAGTCCAATAATTTCTCAGTCTTCTAACTAAATATTCGTACATGTACATGTATGTCCACTACATGCATTACAATTTCATGTATCTTATCTGCTTTGAAGTCTTTTCTAACTTGTCCAAGGCACCGTAAACACCTAATCTACACACATATCTTAGTCTGGCCTAGATTAGAGCATCTACACTAGTGAGGACTAACTGGTAAAGTTTAATGTTTATGTCCATGCTTACTCACCATGTCACTATCTAGATCAACTCGTAAGGACAAATTTACCTGTTGATCGTCCAGTTTGGGTTTTTTGGCACCAGATCCTGATTCCTCATCCTCCTCAATGTCTGTAGTGTCATTATCATCAGTCTGAACCAATCAAAAAGATCATCACAATGAAATATCAGTCTGGACCAATTAAAAAGATCATTACAATAAAATATCAGTCTGAACCAATCAAAAAGATCATCACAATGAAATAATCAGTCTGATCCAATCAAATGGATCATCACAATGAAATATCAGTCTGAAACAATCAAAAAAAATCTTACAATGAAATATCAGTCTGGACAAGTCAAAAAGATCATCACAATGAAATATCAGTATGAACCAATCAAAAAGATTATCACAATGAAATATCAGTATGAACCAATCAAAAAGATAACCTCAGTAAGAAGTAAGAACAAAATCAATACATGTTTAAATTTAATTGGTCTGGTAATATTAGAAAGATCATATTCCTATATGGAAAATAATTCATTTTTAAAAACAGATATAGCTTCTAATTTCACTGCAAATATTGACAGCTTTTTCAATTCTGAGACCATGTAACAAGTAAGATGTGGAGGATATCATTATCTTTAAATGTTGATGGTTAGGGATGACCTCTCCTCCTATATATATAGATAATTCATCTAAGTGAAGGACTCAGCCTCAAAGAACAAAAGGTGGTACTAAAGAAAGCTTACAATTTCCCTAATCTCTGACTCATCCCTGAAGGAAACCCTGTTGGCAGTAATTGTTCTTTTCCTCCCAGGTTCCTCCATTTCCTCCCTGTTTTCCTCTTCTTCCTCCTCATCATAAGGAATGTTGTCTTCGATGGAGGTGTGTGATTGGTTAGATTTGACTGAGCTCTGCTGCTGTCGCCCTGGAATATTTGTCGGAGGAACTTCCTGATCTTCCTCATAATCTTCTTCATCCACATCTGATGTTACGGAAAATATGTAAATTACAAATGTATTAGTGCTTCATAAAGGAGTACATGATGTATCATATGTGGACAATGATAGCTGCATGATAATATCACCTTCCTTACTTTACAAAAGTACTCTATGTTTTAAATACACCGCAGTTAATCAAAAGCCATCATTCAGCCCTCATCAGACATCACTATTTAGTCTTACTTACCCTCATCTTCACCTTCACTGTCGGGGAATTTGGTAAGTTTGGCTGCCAGGCTTATCTTAGGAACATCCTCCTGAAATGTTGAAGAGGTAGAAATAAAAAGACTGACACAGTTACCAAAATGAAATATGATTTCTTCTCCTATCTTCTATTATATGTTTGTTACTTTTATACATCATCACTTTACTAAACTATTTAGATAACTGTAGATTTCATAAATCATCATAAATATCAATGTATACTGGAAAACTTTTGCCCTTTTTTATTTTCACCCACATTACCCTCATCCTAAGTGGGCAGACTTAAAACTAAGCTGGTATAAAGAAATAAACACTGACTGTATTTTAGTCATAAACTTTGCAAAGGGGTAAATTTAAAACAAGGCAAAAATATCAAAGTATCTAAGTATTCAGTTTAGAGTTTGATGCACAGCCAAACATTTAGAATTACTCATCCACAGTAAATTTACCAGAAGTCATTTGATTCCATATACCACTGACAATAAAGAAACTGCAGTCTTCAGGAAAAAAGTCATTAAGTGTTTTGCAAATTCACACCTAATAGTGATTAGAAACTGTGAACCAAACATGAAAGATCTGAGTGTGGAAAGAAAATGAAATCATTTTTCCCCTAAATGAATTAAGTGTGAAAAACCACTTCCAAGTGTGTGTAATGGTAAAAAAAGATACCAATTCTGTGAAAGATAAGTGCTAAAAAGGTGCTTTTTTTTGTCCTCATTGAAAAATTTCATTTCTATCAGGTTAAACAAATCTTAATTTTAAAGTTTTTAAGAATAACATTTTTAAAAATCTACAAAATAAACATACAATATAAATTACTAACTGAACAATATCTAAGAGCAAGATCTCAGGAAAATTAGGAAATATATAAAACAAAGGAATAGGGTCACAAGAAAATCGGTATGTCTACTGACGACACTGGGGTCTTACATCTGCCTCGCCCAACTCATCCGCCCCAAAGTCTGAGTCATCATCTCTATCCTAATGACAAGAATATGGCACAAACTGTACAGGTATATATGGGGTAGATTACATATGAATTAAATAAAATTAAATAAAATTTTGTTGCATTCATACAATTTACTAGCATATGTATAACACATAATTTTATACATGTACGTGTAATTACAATTCTATATACTTTAAAGCTGATATAATTTTTTTTACATGCAACCACTCAAATCAACAAGCATTTATTCAGTTCTTATGTCAATGTATACTCTTATTTTACAAAATCTGAAATTTTTAAAGTTTCTTATCATTTAATTACAACATAAGTTTTCTGAAGCCATAAAAACTAACATATAAACTGACACTTGATCTTATACCCTACAGCTGTCAGGCCAAATAATAATCATTTGTGTCTGTGTACAGGTGTAAATTTTTTGCATTGTAAGTGACTGTAAAAATTCACACACGTAGCATTAAAATCAAGTGTAATCTTTATATATGGAAATATCAAAGCTTCACGCAGCAAGAAAATGCAGTCCTAACTTACGGGAATATTTTGCATAACTCTCTACAAAGTGAACGTTTACATATTACACATATGCTGATTTCAAAAACTAAAAATCAAACATTTTAGTTACAGATTACATATTTGTGTAGTATCTGAAGTAGAAGTTTTTTGAATTGATACATTCAAACTTAAGAAACATGCTGTTTTTTTCTACATATATGTTCCTATAAAAGTAAAAATAAATGCACATTCATGCAAATTCAGTACTCTTAAATGACACTGAAAAAAATAATTTAATATATGTACATTGTACATCTATGAACATGTAGCTTTGCCATTTTAGCATCATTTGTGCAGTAAGCAGCAATTGGGCTTGTGTTTTTTTAAATCTTTAAGCAATACATATAAAATGTATATCCGAATGGCCCTTCAAACTTAATGGACCTACACATGCACTAAGTAAAACTATAGTAACAGCTATAAATTCCCCTGTAAACTGATACCTTTTTCTTGTCCAGTCCGAGGCTGACACTATCGTCGGCCCAGGAGTCATCCTGTTGACTGTGTGATACTCGGCTCTGTGTGTTCTCCTCATCGGAATCCTCAACTGTTGGAATAATTCAAATTTTACTATTGTAACTATCAAAGACTAAATCATATTTATGTACTTAATATTTTTTTTTCTGTTTTCTACTTTACATTGTTTTCTTGTTTATAAATTGAAATAAAAAAATTATAAACTGAATAGACAAAACTTAATTTTGTGATCTGTGTTTAAGTCACTGCTTTAATTAATTCAGCTTTTCAATTATCAATTCCATCTGGCCCTAATCACTCTAAACTTGGTGTAATGCATAGTAAAATACCCTTGTTCTAATTTACTTTCCTAAAGAAATCAAATTAATGTTAACATGTTTCTATCATGGTTAATTTATCTGTAAGCATCATCTACAAGGTGATCAAACCTTTGTCATTGTTATCTGCCGGTAGAAAATGGGAAAGTGAAGGATCTCTAGGGGTGGTAGAGGCACTGGAGGGTCCTACCGAGCCCCGGGGGGTCTCCCGTGGGGTGACACTCCCGGCGAGACTTCCCCCAGCGGACCTCCTTAACTTCATGGCATGGTCACTTAGTAGCTGTGCCGCAGCATATTGTCCTGTCATGTTAGCCATGTCCTCTGCTGTAAAACCTACAAAACAATTAGTTCACTGCATAGTCAAATCTATTCATTCAAAGACAAACATCAACAGAAAATCAATCAATTTATACAAAGTATTAAGTCAATGTCATCTTAATATTTATATAGAGTACTTAAGTCAATATTGTCTTAATACAGTAACTACCGGTATATTAATTCATTGACTGTTTAGTAGATTTGATAATAGTTTTACCTTTGTTGAAAATGGACACATTGTTCTAAAGAAGAAGGTGAAAGTGGGAAAGCCAAAGAAAGTACACATACAAATGGCAAATAAAAATTATTTAAATTGACTCCTGGTAAACCAACCTTTCTTGTCCTTGATGACGGTGTTGGCATTAAACTGCAGCAGCATTCTGACGGGAGTGATGGAACCCTCATAACAGGCCAGCATTAATGGAGTTCTGAAGAATAAAAGATCTCTTTCCAACATTGGAGTTTACATGTAGTAAATTTCCCACCTGCTAATCTTCTTGTACATGTATCATACAAGTATTTTTTGGAACTGCCAATTGAAGCTTGCTTAGGTGAAGTAGTACTGTTCCTATTTTTCATTTTGCAGACCTTGAATGTCTACACTAGTTATTCTTACCTACCTACCCTGGTAGCTGTATACATGCATGTACCTGAATTAGCTTACTTTATCTGACCATTTGACACTGTATGCCATCAAGACTTAACAACTGTTACCTGCCCAGTTGAACCTATGGATTAACAATTGCTAACTGCCCATTTTACTATGACATAATGTATGTCTTAATTAACTATATTTTCCCTCTTTTTTGTGGTATTTGTACACCTGGAATGCCCGATTGCATGTCTGGATCAACTTTTTTTACCTGCCCAAGTTATCCTGCACATCTGGATTTGCTTTTGCTATCAGCAAGGCCCTGGTAATTTCATCCCTTTTAAACTGTATGGACATGTGTAGAGGGGCTAATCCCTCCTCAGTCTACAAAGAATAGGGAAAATTTATTACTGTACAAGAATTAATTATACATGTAGTATGTTTTATATTTTCCTTTTTTTTTAGCATTATCCTTTGTCCACTATTTAATTAGTATCAACAAATTCACAACTGCATCAAAGACTTAACTTTCCTGAATTTGTGATAAATTTATGCATTTAAAGAAGAGCATGGACAGTAGCGGTCAGTTTCTTTTTTTTCAAAATCATTCAGTCTGTCATCTCTGTATCATCATATATATAAGCTGCTATTTTAGTAAAAGCGTAGCTGATTTAAGTTGACAACATACCTTGTTTTTGATGTTGACATTGGCACCTTTATCTGTGAGAATTTTGACAATTTTGGGATGGTTGTAGAGAACGGCCAGATGTAGACCAGAGTTCCCCTCTCTGTCCACAGTATCAACCTGGGCATTATGTTCTATCAATAGCTTCACACAGTCGTCATGGCCACATTCCACAGCCTGCCAAAAAGCATCAGATCTCTCAATTATTTCTTGCCTAAATCTAACAATTTCTAAACTGCATCTTTATGCTTTAGAATGATACCAAAAATACCTCCAATTAATCTAATTTTTTCTAAAGTTTTGTTCATGTTGTTTAAAACTAAATGCAATAAGCCACATTTTCTTTACCACAGCTATAAACTTTGATAAATGTAAGAAAGGCAAAATTGTGGAGGCTTAATGCTATTAATGGGTAAAATGATAAATCAAAAAAGAGGCCCAAGGGCCACAATGCTAACCTGAGTTACTAATGGCACTTCTGTTCTTCATCAGCAGATTTTTCCCTATATTATTGCCATGTAAAACAACTGCCCATTGTGGCCCCACCCTACCTCCTTGGAAACAAACTTGAATCTACACTATCTGAGGATGCTTCCATATAAATATGAGTACTCATGGCTTTGCTATTCTTGAAAGGAAGACTTTAAAAGATTTTCCCTATATGTTCCTATGTAACTTTGATCCCCTACTGTGGTTCTTGAAAAGAAGATCTTGAAAAGATGCCAACAAATTTTCATGAATTTTTAATTATCTCCCCTTACAAGAGGACGTGGCTCTTCAATTACACAAATTTGATCCCCTTTACCCATGCAAAGATATAGTGTGGCAAGTGTGGTTGAAATTGGCCCAGTGGTTCTTGAGAAGTTGAAAATGTGAAAAGTTTACAGACAACACACAACACAAGACAAGACACAATACAGATGATGCTGGACACTGCTTCCAGTTCAGGCAAGCTAACAAAAAGGTAGGGTAGATTGCAAAATTAAGAGGATTATTGAGCATACACATGCACTTAAATGACAAAGTTATGGGAGAAAGTAGCATCAAACAAGTTTTCAGAATGTCTGTTGGTTTCATATATTTGATAATTTCTGTGTTTAGAAAATAATTTAAAAATTTATTTTTCAACATACTGTGCAGTACATATTGTCAAGCATTCTTAAGATCATGTTTATAACTGATTTTCTGTAAATAAATCTTTTATCAACCGATTAAAAAAATTAAGAACCACTGGAAAAAAATTGCTTTTATTTTTGGTAGATATCATCATTAAATGTCGATAATCAATTTGAAAGTTATCATTCTTATGATACAGTAAATGCACCATCCATAGACAAGAGGATTAATTCAAAGTAATTACATGTAACTCAGATGTATTAACTAAGTACCGGTACTTGTATGTATGAATGTTAGATGAGGTTGTGATACAAACTTTTCCTATTATCACAGTAGTGGCATTTTAAAGGTGATTTATTGGATCTCAACGGTGAAATTCAACACCATTTAAATGACATTCAATTGAGTGGCGTCTCATGTTAAATCAATCACAGAGCACTGCAAAACAAGATCCCCCAGAATAAACACCGGGACAAGGAATTTAAACACTCCTCTTGTACATAGTTTCATTCCATTCATGAATAACAGTGCTGATTATTCTCTCCATAAATGGCCAATCAAATTGAACTTTCTGATGAGAAGGTCTATAATAACATGATAACCAACTTATTTCGTCTCCATTATTACATGCTAAATGTCTTACTTCAAAAGCAATGTAGGGTTTTAATAATCTTAGAGTACCATTCTTTTATTGGCAATATCAATCTTCATTTCCAATAACTTCTCCTTAGTAAATTGTGTTCATCAAGCTCAAAATGCCTTTCACATACACATACATATCATAAAAAAAATGAATCCAGCATATCTATGATCCTTGTCAACAGTACCACAAAGCAAAATATTCAGGGTACTGACATTTTGAAATTAATTCGTATATCTCTCATGCAACATTAGACAAAGCTATAAGTATTCAATGCTCATCTTCTGATTGAACATGTACAAGAAGACTTAACTGAGAGTGTGCAAAACCTGCTGATGAAACGATTAGAAATAAATCTAATAAAAATTATAGATATTAGACCAAGTTGCAAGATTTTGCTAATTTAATACATTCTATCATAGAATATTTGATTTGTTTAAATAATTTTAATGGAACAAATTATACAGTTAATGTATCCTTTTTTCTCTTAAATAAGAAATTTAAGATGTTGTAATCAGATTGAAAATCCTTGATTGTTAAGTCACACAGACCACAGCTAAATTGTATCATTACTATTTTTCAAGTTTGAGGGTGATTAGCTGCACATGTACATGTAGATTGAGAGATGTATACAGAGCTTAATTATCTCTTAAATATTGAGTCATGAACTTTTAGAGACATGCAGTGATCCTTTGTTTATGTTCTTTGAAGCTGCAATTACTTTGTCTAAAACAGTTTAGTACTTCTGGTAGATGTTCCATGTTTATATATATTGCTAACTCAGAGGAAGAAATGCTGCAAAGCCAATTCAGTCAAAATTAATGTTTCAATCATCTACACCCTTATTATGTGACCATGCAATCTTATCATTTTTGTCCTCATACAATTTCCTACTATTGATTTTTTCTTTATTGATTTGCCTTAATTGACATTTCTAAAGAAAGCTCTTCTTTTCCATACAACTCCAACACGTGCCTCAACAGTCATTTATTATTAATGACAAAATATGACCTGACAGATGTGGCTTAATTCAATCCACCTGACAAACTCTTCATGCATCAAGATTTATCTAAATCTATTGTTCAATACTTGTGTATAAACATGATAAACTCTGGTGCAACATTTCACACAATGCTATTGGATTTTTTTTTTTTATGTTTTAGTTATGCAGTGTTTGCTTCATTGATTTTTTTTTTTTTTTTTTTTTTTTGCTCAATTTTTTGTAATGAGAATTTACAAATGGTCTGGAACCACAACTTACCTTCAGGAGGGGCGTTTTTGATTCACTGTCCCCGATGTTGCTCTTGGCATGCCACTCTAGAAGAACTTTAACTATATCAGCATGGCCTTTTGCACATGCAAGATGCAAAGCAGTCCTGCAATAATATGCAAAATATTTCAACAGAAGAGTATAAATTATTTTCAAGCACATGTATTCTTATTAAATACATTTAATTCATGCATGCATGTTATGATAAGCACCTCCAAATGCTTGAAATGATGTATTTCAATCAACATGGTTAAAATGTATGTTCTCTAAAATTTTGTAAAACTTATAAATACTTTTACTGTGGTTGCAGTTGCAAACTGCAGCAATTTTATTTGTATAGTATGAGCAAACAGCTAATTTCTTTTTTTAATTCTTAACAATCCAGTGTGTTACGGTTATATATACATAAAGTACAAGAATGTGTGTCGCCTAATTTTGAATGTCTTAACAGTTCAATGCTAGGTATTTAAACTCATTGAAATGACATTCTTAAATACTTTTAACTGCCTAGAAAGATTTTAGTATTTACTTCTTTAAACATGCAGATCCCATAAATTTAAATATAGGCTATAGATCATTATTTTCTATGCTGTGCGATTAACAAAGTTATATGTCTTTGAAATATTTACAAAGTACTACAGAAAAACAATCCAAATTCCTCAAGCATAGTGTTATCTCAAAAGATGACAACGGAATGCAATGAAATACAAGTCATATCATGTTGTAATGGGCAAATGTACACCTGTATTTTAAATCATGTACGTCCACTATTGTGGATAAGTGTGCCTGTCGTTTTTTCTTAAACAAAATCATCTGACCGTAAATACCTGTTTTCTTTGTCAAGAGAGCTAGTATCCTTTTTCACAAGTTGCACTACTTTGGACAAATCCCCAGTCCATGCTGCTTTGTGAAGTTTCGGGAGATCTTTTTCGCGAACAACATAACCAGTCTCTGTCCCTCCCGAAGCCCCTCCAGTGTCAGCTGCCTCCTGCGGGTCGTAACTTCCCTTGCTCTGTGCCTTCTTTTTTATTGTTTTAATAAATTTCTTCATATTTAGACGGTAGATGTTACTTTTCAAAATCAACAGTGGCTGTTGCTGGTTTGAACATCGGCCATGACTGTAAACAAATGTTCTCGGAAGTCTTTTCACAAAGTCCAGAGAAGTTCCAAATGTCAATTACATATTTTGGCGCGCTTTTTGATCTTAAAAAAGGGAAGATTTTTAAAAGGGGTCCGTGTTTCACTGGGGGGGAGGGGGCGGTGTCGTTATTTTTACATAGAAATTTAATAACTCTTAAATTCCAGGGGGGGGGGGGATTCCGACCACCAACCCCTCTCTAGATCCGCGAATGTAATACTGAAATAGCAAACTTGAAACAATGTTGAAGATACACACTCAAGCTCAATAAAATGGTGCAAATGATGTCGCTGGGGGTTAAGCGTAAAAAAATAATGAAATGTCGAAGAAAATACTTTTTGAATGAATGCATGAATATGTAACCTTTAAGGAAAATATACAAAAATGAAGTGAACAAATCATATTGAGATATTTTATTTGGCATATAGTGATTTTTTGAAACGTACGTTACTGTCGCCAACATCGAATAATTACACTTAAATGGCTATTTTTTGTACAAATAACAGTTGAATCTTAAATTAGATAGCATATGTCTTCAAAACATTTATTTGTAAAATGCTTTTAATAAATTATTGAGCATAATCACAAATATATTACCAAACTTTGATTTGATATCCCCATGTCGCCAGAAACAAATAAAAACGGACTGTGATATTAAATATAGTATGAGTATTCGGTATTGTATGCCTGTAAGATTGGAATACGTTTTATTTTGAAGGAAACTTCTTGAAAATTAAAAATAAATGGTACAAAGCCTTATATATGTTACCAATACTTTGAAATCACATTCTATCTTCCTATTTTACTTGCGTATGGATAGGCATGAAACATTCGTTGTATTAGTTTAATAGATGAAATAGAATGATATCATAGTTAAACATGTGATATTTTTTCTTCTATCCAACAACTGTATTCCATGCTCCAACCATGATTTAACAATGTCTTATTATTAGCTTACTATTTAAGAGAAAATGATTAAATGAAACAACCGTTACCGAAACATTCGTTACCAAACCTCTTAAAAAAGAATGATTTATGAGTTCTAACATCTTCTGCACATATACGTAATCAAATATTTTGCGCCAGTATTCAAATTTTGACATCCGGAGTACGGTACTGCCTTTTTATGATTTTTTTTCTAAAGTCTAGACAGTGTTGGTGAGTTTGTTTTCTAGAATGCAATAACAATGAATCAAATGGAATGAATTAGTATGTAACTGTTAATATTTATATAACGACCGACAACAACTACGCAACCAGTATCAATCTAAGAGAGAAATTTTGTGGCTTGTTCCCATCATTTTCAAATTTTTCTTTGCGGATCTCTGTTAAAAATGATACAACAAATGTAGCCCTTTCATTCGGTCAATCCATACTTCGTGCTCGGTCGATATGCTTTTCTGTGAAGTCGATATGGATCGACCTCATGAAAGGGCTCTCTCTCTCTCTCTCTCTCTCTCTCTCTCTCTCTCTCAATATATATAATTCCTTAATTCCTACAGCCAAATGAAAAAAGGGTGAAGATAATTTCGAACAGTGATCGATCTCATAAAAACTTCAAACAATAAAAATCTGTGAACAGGGCATAAATATGGACACCTAGAAATCCTAGAGGTGGGATCAGGTGCCTAGGAGGATCGATTAAGCATCCCCTTTTGACCGGTCACACCCATCGCAAGCCCTATGTATTATTCAAGTAGACGGAACATTTTAGTATAAAAATTCTAACAATTGGTAAGAAACAAGTCAGCCAAAATAAGACTCAGTGATAGGTTATATTTGCTTATATGGTCATTTTAAAGAACAAAGAATTTACAAATGCTGACTTCAAACGAAGTTGTTGAAATCCCTGTAACATCAACTTATGTGTGAGCAGCCTGTCTCTGTTTCAAAACTGGTCGTACTCAGACAGATGTGGCAGACTGTGTGGCGTCTTTTATTTCAAGTTCACTGGGATAAATAAATGGAAATAACTATTGTTAATTTACAAAACGTGTATAACTGTCGAGTTGAAGGCAACGGCAAGTGTTTTCTTAATTCTTCTCATGTAGAAGCTTTTGAATAAATTCTGCTTTATACGAATATGCTAATAAAGGAACACAATTAGTGCCCATTGGAATTCCAACAGTTTGTTGGAAGGCCTTGTCTGAGAAGACTACATAAATGTTGTCAATAAGTATCTCCAATCTGATTAAAATCAGATCCTTTGATCCGCTCACATAGATCGCTACACAAGGCTTGTGTAGCGATCTATGTGAGTGGATCAAAGGATCTGATTTTAATCAGATTGTAAGTATCTCCAGCATCGTTTTAATATCAACTTCATAGTATGTAGAATCAGAGTGAATTTTAACGAAGTCATTTTGCTGATGACCAATCACAAGATGTGAAATTTCCGAGTTCTGTTTTTATTGAAGAAGCAGTTGTTTGTGATATCAAAAAGCCTAGTTTTTAATTCATCGTGAGGAATTGTTGTAAACAGTGTAGAAAAGTTGTACTTTTTGATGTTGTAGAGTTTTGAAAAAATTTGTGATTTCAAATTTTGTAAAAATTCTTTAGAGTTTTTGAGAATTCACATCTGATTTACACCACTTCTAGAGTATGCTGCAGCACATGTACGCTTGAAGTTTCTCCTTAACAGCAGTTAATATTTTGGTAAGGAGTAAAGATAGGGACTTAATTGGTAGAGAATTTGTTGGACCCAGCAATATATCTTTGTTTGTAAGGATTTTTATGTGAAATCTAGATTTGTCTCCCTGTGGAGTGATACATCTAGGTATATACATAAAGGATATTTTTAAAGTTTGTTTTAAGACTGTATTATTTTTTTTTATACAGTGGCTACCAGTCTGATTAAAACTTTCTGCCATCCGACAAAAAATTCAAAACAAGCAAGTTTATTGATCTGCGGAGACGACTATAAAGGATTAGGGGGTGAATGAAATATACAGGTGATAATAGAATATGTCTAGAATTAGGGAATGAAAGGTATAGTTGATTGTTCAATGCTGGAAAGTGGAAAAATACATCCCCAATAGTGCGCAGAAAATCTCGCGCCGTATGTAAATTGCACCATATATTTGCATTACGGGATCTATAGCTTTATGATCAAAGACTAAAATATAAAACTATAACGCTACATTTTGCAGCTGTGAATTACTATACTTACTGAAGACAATAAAATTGAAAACTGTATGATACTCTACACAAAACAATATATCTTTTCATGTTAATTACAATCAAAAATACCTGAGTACTTTGTTTTTAATTTTAAACTATTTTAGAAAAGATTTAGAAAATTTCAGTCAGAACTTCAAAACTATTTATTACAGTTCATGTATTTTAAGTCGGGATCGGTCTTCACATTTCTCAAACTTTTCCCAATGGACAATGGCTGAATGTGGAGACGACATTGTCTTTCAGTCGTCTTTAGACATCAACAAAAAGCCACACCAGGTTCAGCTCACACGGAGGCATCTTACATGGGACTTGGCTTCTCCAGGAAAACCGTCTCGGAAAGCGGACAGTCCGTCATCGCAGCCATTTATCGGTAAGATTTTCTGGGTCAAGAGATTTGGTATTTACAAATCAAATGTCAACAAACAGTAAACAGAGGAGGGAAAAAGACTATAAAAAGGTTGCTGCTTTAGCGTAGAGGAAAAAAATCAACATTGAAAAGGACTTAAATACATATGATATGCAGTTACAGAAAAAATGAAATTAACGTGTGATATAGAAAGCAGATTACATAAGAACATTCTGGAGATTTTTAAATATTTGCATTTATACTGAAAACTTTCTATCGAAAATGCATTTGTGTCCAATAAATGGATATTTTATTTTCATTTATTGATCAGTTTTTTAATGATGGATTATTGTTTGTTTTATCAAATGCAGTATTAATGAAAAATGTTGAATTGCAACTGATCTTTTCCCACCCATGCAGGTAGCCTCTTTAATCTTTATTGACCTTTTATTCAACAAGGGTTGCAGTGAGTTATTTGGGGACAAATGAATATAAAAATTCAAAAACTAAGAGTATCAATAAATGCTGCATTATGAAGTTGTCTTTAATCAGTAGGAATAGAATAACAATGTGACAATGTTTTTTTTTTTTTACCAAATAAATTTGTTTGAAACTGATTTTTATGTTCTAAAGCCAAAGGGAGATAACTCTTTAAGGACAGGTCAAGGTCATAAATAAGCATAAAATTGGTACTCAATAAAATAAATGGGAATTATGTCTACAAATATATTGAGTATTCAGCCTGTACATGCAGTCAAATTTGTTATCTCGAACTCCGTGGAACCTAGAAAAAACTTTGAATATCCGAGATTTTAAGATATAGAGGGTAATTAAAATAGTTTAAATACTAGTCTAGTACATGTACTTAAAGAAAAAGTGCTTGCCAATGGGAATTCCAAATCACTTCGACATGTCCATGGTATTAAAGAATACTTATATAATAAATAAAATTTTATCTTTCTATATAACTGTGATACTGGCCTTTTGCATAGCAAATTGATATATGTAGTGAAATTTAACATATAACAGCAATTGTTTAATAAACATCATTTAGTTATAAGCCATCTAAAACTTTGCTAGATATGTTATAGATGTTAATTTGCACTGCAAAAGATCAGTATTGTATTGAAATTATAGTGATAGGGTTAATTGAATGTAGTTAATTAAAAATGAATTGTTATACATGTAATTGCAACAGGTCACTCAGGATGTAAACACGTGCCATTACAAGAAGTGATTGCTGTTAATCTAGAGCGCAGTCTCAACAAAGCATCAACTCCAAAGTCGGCCAAGAAGAGCTCCTCCACCCCTCTGAAGGAATCCCCCATCTATATAGAGCTCCAGGCTATTCATCCTGTCTCATTCTCTGTCCATTTTGTCAAGCGATGCCCCAACCACAAGTGGAAAAAGAAAAAGGTGACATTTTTCTGCCAGGGAGAAAATGTATGCAGGACATGGGTGGACAAGATTGAGGAAGCACTTTCCAATCCAGGTATTAATGTGTCGTCTTCTTAGATTATATATCACAATGACATATAATGCTCGTGGGAGCAAAGGTAGAGGGAATTGCCATTTATTTACAGTAACTTCATTTTGTAACAAATAGTTAAGTTCTCCATAATAAATACAGAAAATGATATCGAAAAGATTACATTAAATTTACATAGACTTGGATAATTTTTAATTCCAAGCAGGTATGTCATACATGGAATATACTTAGTGTATAGAAATTTAATGTACATAAAATGTTTTCAAGGTTATTGCATATGATACTCAGGAAATAAAAACTCAAATGAATAATTGATAGAGTAAGCTGACAAGGGAGTTTTGTCATAAAGTGCAGTAGACTGTAGTTAATCATGTTAATTGCAGTCATGTAAATGTCTACAAAAGGAACTGCAGATAATGTTGGATAGTGTGATATTCCTTCACAGTTCTATCCAGTCTTTTATGACAAATGACGATGTTGATCTGCAGACAATTTCTTTTTTTTTTTTATTCACTAGAATTTGTAATCCCTGAGAGATTTGGCATTGGTGAATAAGTGTTCATTTGGATCTATAAGTCTACCAAGCTATTGTATAATTTTTTGAATGAATGCTGCTGCAGTTTTTGCGTTGTCTGTTATAAGAATATAAGAATATATTATATATAATTATAATAATAAGTAAATTTGTTTTGGTACAGTGGTAATGTAAAGAAGATTGATTTCTATGTAGATTTTGTCACTTCCTGAAAAATATCAAGGAAGACTCAACTTATGTAAAAAAAAAAAAAGAAACATGTTATGTATTACCACTGAACCAGTCAGCCATGAAATACTCATGCATGTCTTCCCTAACAACTCACAACTCTTGATGTAATTAGTAATTACATGATATCATAATTATGTTACTGTCACTTTACCCATAAGACTTACCGGTTGATTATGATTATGAAGATTCAAGACATGATTGAAAGACCGTTTGTACTAATTGCCTGTATTTTAAATTTGAGCAGAATGTGTGTTATGTATATCCACAATTATTCACTATATATGCAGGTACAGGAAAATAGTACATGTATAATTTATATATAACAATATTTGATATCGACAAGTATTTTGTGCTAAAGAAACAAGTTTGAATGTTAGAGTTAATGATATCTTAGACTTCTTGATAGGAAAATTAACTTAAGATATTTGTAAGGAAAAGTTTAAGGGTATATATACACATTTACATTGAACATGTTGAAGATTCCTGATACTTTGTTGAATAATCAAGTAGAAATCTACAAAGTAATGTATATATATACATACTGAATAAACAATACTTTGTTTAATAATCTTAATTTTTATCTATTTATAAATTCATACTAACAGTCACACTGTCAATTTTTATTTTCTTGTTTGATATATGTTGTTTCCTAGACTCCTAGATGACAATTCTTAATACAACATGTTACCTTTGATTATGCTGGATGACAATGCTTATTAATGGGAGATATGTTACATTTTTATCATGCTGTTTGTCAATGTTTTTTTTTTTTCCCAGCAAGCAAAAAATTGATATAAATACTGGAGAGAGATATTTTTTAATGTATAGTAATTACTGTGTTGTAAATTTTTAGCACTAAAAAGACCAAGGAGCTTACTGGTGTTTGTCAATCCATTTGGTGGGAAGAAGCGAGCGCCCCGGGTGTATGAGGAGTCAGTGGCCCCTCTTCTGGAACTGGCCAAAATCAAAACCCATGTCATCAGTATGTATACAAATGTGTAATTAGTACACATGTTAGGCTTAACAAATGTCAAAAGAAACTGAAAAAAATTGAATTTTGAAAGATATGTGGGCTTCAAGTTTGCAGTGTTCAGTAAGATATACAGCCTTAATATAAGATACAAATGCACAAGTATTAAGCCTACAATTTAATGTAGACTGCAGAATAAATTTGTAAGATGGTTTTCTTTTTGATATCAATGTGTACATTGTAATTCAGTTTATAGGATATCAGTAAAAGGAGGTACATGTATTACTGAAAGCTATTAAAACCCTTGAGTGATAGTAACAGAACAAGTGAGGCTACAATGTAGGGGCATTAGATGTAGGTGTATAACCATGATATATTCCTGTACCTAATGAATTCTGATCAGTTTTATCCTGTTTCAGCTACCACACATGCAGGACATGCAAAAGAGGTTTTAGAAAAGTACAATCTGCAGTCAGTGGATGGGTGAGTCATTCCAGTTCAGCATTTGTATTGTGGTTTCCTTGTGTATAATTATTAAGTTTGAGTTTTACAGCCTGATTTAAAAAAAAAAATGTTTTTGTCCCATTATCAGCTTTTAATTCTTTTTTTGTGTGTTTTTAACATGATGAAACACTTATAGGAAAATTTTGATTGTTTGCTTACACCTAGGATGATTCTAATTGGCTGCATTCAAAAGTGCTTCAAATAAATCTGAAGTGTACATGTTTGTATAACAGGAGAAACAAGTTCCAAAACCACTTTTCTCAAACTCGTTCCTGAATTTTTATAATTTTCAAGAGATACTCGGCAACCCTCACCTCAAAATGAAAAAAATTAAGGAAGTCAAGTTTGATAAAAAAGAGTTGCTAACTTGGACTGGTTATGGAGCCTATATTTTTAATCTTTCTGGAAGTACCAATATAAATACATGACTCTGAATGTATTCACATAATGTTTTAATCCTCAACATGCTCCATGTACTGTGTTGTAAATGTTTAAAATATTGAGGAATGTGCTTGTATCGCCTAATTTTTCATAATTACCAATTTTATGTTACTCTTTTAACTATATTGCTGTGTATGTGTAGATAATTGATAAATGTATACTTTTGTTTGTAGGGTGGTGTGTGTGGGTGGGGATGGAATGTTTACAGAACTCCTGAATGGTCTGGTTAACAGGAGGATGTCAGAGGCAGGGAAAACTCAGACTCGAACAGAACAACCCTTATCTCCTGACCTAAGAATCGGAATCATTCCAGCAGGTATGTCTGTTAGTCTGGGGGGAAAAAAAATTAACCATATTAACAATAGTGCCTGATTTTTTTATGATTATTTCTTTTCATTGGCACATTTTACTCAGTAATTACCATAAAACAAACATTAAAACTTAATATTGCAAAAGTGAGGTTGAATATGTTAAACACACTTTTTCACTATATTTACTTTGGCCCGTAGTCTTTATATAGTACTCTAACTCAAGGTTTTACATGTATCTGAAAGGTCAAGGCCATATGTGGTTTTGATTTAATATTGTATCTGAAGCATTATCTTTTAAACTATGCACTAATATGGATTAGACAACATGTCAAATAAAAGCACATTTCCCCTGTCCTTTGACTGTATGTCAGGTGTTATCAATCAAGTTTAGCCAATGTCTGTTGTCTTCTACAGTAAATAGTCAGAATCCTTAAAATTAAACTCAAATAAAAGATGCTAAAATGATGTACATACTAGAAATATACAGCATTTTACAATTGAGGCAGTTGTTAAAGAATGTTCAACATTCTTGCAGATTTTCCATTTTGATTCATCTGTGCTAATTTCTGTCTTCATTTAAAATTTTTAGATGGCCATTGTGTTAGAGGACAGGTTATAAGTTTGATTTTCTTCCTAGGTTCTACAGATGCCATATGTTATTCCACAACAGGAATCAATGACCCTATGACGTCAGCAATCCACATTATCGTAGGTGAGGCATATTTTAATATTGTAATTTATTAATTGATAATGACTATGTCTCATTCAAATATTGCTTACAACTCAATGTTGAATTTATTTTCCACTTTAAATAGAAATAATTATTACATGGAGTTTGATTTTGTACACAATGGCATTTATTTTGATTTACATCTACTGTTTATTATCTCCATATTTCATCTACCTAGGCTACTAGTACTTAGAAGTCAGACATCTTACAATTTACAAAAGTAATAGGCAAAAAAATGTAATGTTTTCACCATTGAAGATTTGACTTGTAGGTGATTGTACAGCCATAGATGTCTGCTCAATCTATGATGGGGACCAGTTTTTACGTTACAGTAGCTCAATGTTGGCGTATGGTTACTATGGTGATATGTTAAAAGACAGTGAAAATAACAGGTGGATGGGACCAAAACGTTATCAAATTGCAGGTAATGATTTAAGCTGTAGAATTTATCACTGAATAAAGGAGAAATTCAACATGTTGTCCATTTACATGTAGACGGAGCATATTTTGAAGTTAAAGAATACAAAACTTTTTTATTCCTGGTATTTGATATAACCTTTCCATGAAATTAATGGATTACAGGACTGAATATAAAGCAGGTTGGTCACATGTTTTCATCATGTACACTCATCAACCAATCCTATGTTAATTACATTCCACATTAAATTTTATACAACTGTTTATGACTTACATTTACATATATTTTGATATGTAAGGATTTGTTTGTTTATTTTCATATACATGTACTAAATACACTGTAAATTCTTAGTATTCTCATTCTCCTTTGAAATACAAGCCAAAGTTCCATAATCAGAATATCAGTGTTATGACATCATCTTATAAACTGCACCCCATAATCTACTGACATTTTAAATGTTAAAGGGCGTAAACTCCTAACTCAACAATATTTCAATGTTAAAGCTTGTGTAATAGGATGTTGTACAGCATCTATGGAATTTTTTAAAAAATTTCAATAAAATGACTGTTTCTTTTTATAGGTGCCAAAAAGTTTTTGGGTAACAAGTCTTATGAAGGGGAGGTGTCATTTAAATTGGCCTCCTCAACAGATTCAAACCCTCGGGACAAAATCACCTGTAATTCAGGGTATGAACATTAAATGATTTTTTTTTTGTTATCTTCCTTTGTATTTTTTTCTTTGTTAATAAGTATGAACTTGTTTAACTGATTAAACTGTCTTTCAGTTTTGAATTTAGACATTGTATATTAGAGCAAAAGGATGTTCTTTGAAATTTTAAATTCAGTCCTGCAATGTTTCCCTTAAATATTTGGGGAAAGTATTTCAGAAGTCTGGTAAAGTATCTGAAATTCTGGTAACAAAGGTATTGAAAACTACCTTTAACTCACTTGATTAGAGAAATGTATTAGAAATTATAATAGTATGAACTTGTAGAAGTGATATAATTACCCTTACTTCAATTAGTGTGAAATCACTAATTTTTGTGCAGTGTAATTTTCTTTGTTTTTGTGGAAAGAAGAGAGCCACAAATTCATGTCGAGCAGGAAATGTAAAATTTCAAATGTTTAACAGCTCAACACTTTGTCAACCACAAAATGAAATCCCCAAAACCAGACTTTTTCTCCATTAAAATTAGTCCCACAAAAATTTGTGATTTTACAGTACTTTTTAGCTCAAATTGGAATATATACATATGTGTCAATGGTTATTTTCAGCTGTAATATTTGTGCCATGAGTAAGAACTCGCAGGAAGAAAAAGGTAAGTCTAAAAAAATTATATAAAAAAAAAAATTTTTTTTGAAAGCAATTTCTTTTTCTCCAGGAAAGTTTTATCTTTCCCTGAAACCATTGTCACATTCAGTAAGTGTGCAGGAAGTGTGTGTTATCTTACCTCCTAGACTCTCTACCTCCTCCCCCTCCGAAAACTGATGCATGCTGTTGATATGTTTTCAAAAGATTTTTTTTTTAATTTAAAGAATATTTGAAATGTCTCTCTGTTAATCATAGGATCTGAAGGCTGGCACACTGTGAGGGGGAAGTTTCTAGCAGTAGCTAGCTTCACCATGAGCTGTAGATGTTTGATCAGTCCCATGGGACCCTCCCCCTACTGTCACCTGGGAGATGGGACTTCAGACCTGCTCCTGATACAAGAGTGTTCTCGTGTCCAGTTCCTACGTCACCTATACAGGTGTTCCACAACCAATGGCAACCAGGTAAATCATTGAAACACATCAGTTAATATTCTAACTAATTGAATGGTTTGCTCAATAACGCATACATAAACTGTATATTCCATGTACAAAATTCAGAGGACAATGATAAACAAAAAAAAAAAATATTTTAAAATCTTTGAAGAACAGCAGGGTAATAATTGAAATAGTCAAATTAACAGAGAAGCATCGTAATTTAATGAAAATTTAGTCCCCCCCCCCCCAAAAAAAAGGGTGATGAGGTTAGGGTGGGATTACAGTGGGATTAATCTTCAGGCCCTCTCAATTTATGTGTATTCAAAGAGCAATTACCCACATAGGGCCTTTTTTGGCCTTGAGAATTTCTGAAAAATCGAAACTGCTCAATTTTGGTTGAAAATGCAGTATTTATAACTTGGACCCTTGGTGACTGTGTTTCTATTGAATATGAAGTAATTTTCTCTCTAGTCAATGCGTTATGGCGTCATAAAATGCGTCATTTTTCCCATATCCTGTAAATTCCCTTAAAAAATGGCCAAAAGTTGAGGTATTTTTTCAATTTTCATGTAGAGCACAACCTCTGATCCAAAATATGCAATTACATAATGAAAGATCTGTTTCTGAAGATCACAAAACATGTTTTAATTTTTGGATTGTGGGCTGTGCTCATATTTTAATTCTTTGCTGAATGTAGTCAAATACGCATGTTTTCTGCAAAACTCAAGAACATTGCATTTTCTCAAAGCCTGTTTTCCCAAAACCTGGATTCTCAAAAAGAAATTTTGTTATAGGAAATGAGAGCGCTAAGTCTCTACTTTATTATGATATATGAAATGGGACTGAGGGTGATAGTCAAATAATTGATATAAGGACAGGGCCATTTTATGCATAAAGTGAACCTAGCTCTTTGTTGGCAGTAGATGGTTGGGGGTGTGTGTGTTACACCAGGTGGTCCAAGTTTAATACATGTATATGTGTTACTATATGAATATATAGGAAATGATTTTTGAAATCTGAAGAAGAAAAGTTCCGTAATCAGTCAGATTCAAGTTGGTTCAAAATCCTGGCTCTTGGGATGGGTCACAATATGAAACAGAAATGTATCAGCTACAACAAGATCAGCAAAGCAATCATTTTCTGTCCCCAGCTTGCTCTAAAAGTGGGGGATATTAATTTGGTTCTGTCTGTCCATCCATCCATCTGTCTAACTGTCATTCTGTTTGTGTATAACTCTTAAAAAGCCCTTAATCTTTTGTAATGAAATTTTATATAATTATAACTCTCCATGACTTATATAAGACCCCTATTGATTTTGAGGTCATAGGGTCAGAGGCCATGATCAGAAATTCCTAATATTGCATAAAATAGTTTTATGATGATAACTTTACTTCTCTTTGAGCTTTAGCAATGAAACTTAGTGATGAATCTCTCTAATTGAAGAAAGTCAAGATCAAACCTTGTTTTCTTTCTTTGTCTGATTTTTAAAAGGTCTTTCACCCCTTTATTTTGTCCTTAATTTGGCACGAAGCTTCAACATATTTTTGATTTAAAATGGTGGAAGTCATGGACTTACATTTATGGTCATAAGAAGGGGTTTTCTTTACTGCATGTTCAATAGAAAAGTAACTTACCTGTACATGTAGGTAAGTATCATGGTTCATTGAGTTTCCTGTATTGATTTGTGTTATTGATGAAATTTCAGTGAAGTGCCCAGAACATGCAGGATAATCAACTTGGCTAACAGACAAACAAATGACTATATTGACATTCATTTTTCAGTTTGATCTACCATTCATCAAAATTTTTCGAGTCAGGGAGTGGAGTTTTTCTGTCCCAATGAACACAGACTCTGAGAGTGACAGCCAGTCTAGGTCCTCCACATCCAGCAGGGCGAGTCGAGCCTCCACTCACAGTGTGTGGAACTGTGACGGGGAGGTAGTTACCTCCACTGATCTCCAGATCAGGTATAAACACTTAATGATACAGAATATTGATTCCTTATTGATTTGTAGTATGTACAGATATCTTGGGTATTCCTTTGCTTCAATCAAGCCCTAAACAAGTAGATACATGTATTTCTTAGTTCACTCAAGCCAAAACTCGAACGTGAACACAAATGGTTACTGTGTACTCATTTTAATTAGTGGGGGTCAATGTTTATGGACAAGCAAAATTTTACTTGTGGGGACGTAATTTTGTGGGTTACTGATTTATATTGTAGATTCATTGAATTAATATATTTACAAAATTAGCATTCATGGTGATGTTAATTTGTGGGTAAGGGTGACCCACAGTATTCACAAACATTGGTCCCCCACAAACAATGATGATTCCACAGTAAATGAATCTGCAAGCATTCCAAGGACATTTACCAGTAGATTCAAAGAGCTAAAGCCACGAACCATCATATTTGGCCCTGTGTTTTTCACAAAAATAAAGTTTCGATTCAAGAAGAGTACTATACGTTAAATGTTAGAGGACAACATACTTCTTTTCCATATGTAACTCATTTCGTTATATAATCTGCCATTAAGCACGTGCGACAGTTGGAAAATGCTACAGTTTCATTCAAACGTTAAAAATGCCGATTTTTCCGACAGATTTTCCCAATGTTAGATGTGGCCACAGTCAAGAACAACTTTTATACTTACCATAGATATAGATATCGCCGATACAAATCTTTATGTTTATTATCGTTGTTGTTCGTGGCTGTGGCCAATATGAAATTTAATTTTATATTTAAATTCTGATGGATCAAATAATCGCTAATTTGTGAATCAATCCTTTACATTCAATTCATGCAATAATAAAAAAAATTATAAATTTCGCAAAATATGCTAGAAAATCAGTCTATTGTTCATTTAAAACGCTAAATGTGAAGAAGAGTCAACTATATATATTTTCTGAAATAAATATCTGGAAAAACTTAAGATTTTTGTTATGAATAGGTCTATTATATATGACGTTACTAGTAATACGTCAGTTGTGACGTCATAAAGGCTGTAAATTATTTGGGATATTGTTGAAAAGTTTGTAACGCTCTCGAATAATGAAATTAAGATACTGCCCCTATTTATATGATTTAAACCCAACTGGATGATACCATCAAATTATACGTTATCAGAAATTCCCGCCATGGTGCTTTTCTTTACTACCCCTTTCCCCCCTCCCTTGAAATAATTCAAAATACTGTTGTTTACAGTGTTAACAGGCATGACTTAAATTGTAAACAAATTAGTAAAAAATGTAACGAAGATATCACGCTAGACCTTTGTAAAACAAGCGAAATAATAATGACATGCTGTCCAAAGTGAAAATTAAAAAAAGAATTTAAAAGAAATGGCAAAAAAAAATCTACATTTCCGCACCGAAATTCACCCTTTTGTGTACATGCAGAAGAATCATCTCAGAGGAATTATTAAATTCAGATATATCGATGACTTATACATGCTGATACAAAATAATGTATAGTTATAGTATACTTGTATGTGTGTACCGATATCGACTTTCGTCAAAACACTTGCACTTGACGAACCCGCTCCCGTGATCTAGAACATAGCATATATTTTTAGTATGTCTGCATTAGTGAGGATATTGATGCATGTATACATATAACAAATAATTGATCTTGTCATCATTTGTGAAACATAATTCAAATATACCCCGAGTGAGCAAAAATGCATTAAATTCATGTCAGATGTCTAAGAATTCAGAACCGTGAAAACACATGGAGAGAAAGAGAGAGTCCTTAGAATGTGTTTTAAAAAACAAAATAATAAACCGGGAATATATTCTTTGAAACGTATGGTCGTAAGTTGTTAATAGCCTTTTTTTTTAAACCTGGGCCAACGAAGTAGATTTTTTTTTTTTTTTTTTTGGATAATAAATTTTACTCTTTTTTAAATCTTTTGTCATCTTATTCTGGTATAGTACCTCCTTCCTCAGTATTAACTATTACATGTAGTATCATGATATATAGAATGGTAGATGCAAGACTTCCAGTTGAGATTGAAAAAAGAGGGGGGGGGGGCTACAAACTAATGACAGCAAAACTTGCATCTAATTTAGTTATTTTCAGTTCATTCTCATAAGTTGTCTTGAATTTAACTTTCTTTATTGTTAATTAATAGAATTCAATATATTAATTGAAAATTGTTTAATATTTTCCTACACCTATTTTTCCTCAATGAGGGAGGGGGTGGGGTGGGGGTGGCGGTGCCACTTTTCACGAAAAAGAAAAATTCATAAAGAAAACTTAAAATATATATACGACGTATATATAAAGACAACTCTTATTGGTTCTCTGAGTAAAACCTTTATAAGCAAGCTTTTCTTGTGTAAAATCAATCTTCCGATGATTGTAGGACAATTAAACAAGGATAAATGAACATGTACTTGTTTTTCACTTATGATAGTGACCCACATATCAGCAATGCAGCTCTACTCTTTTTATAAACCAAAAAAACAAAAAACAAAAACAATGTGCAAATGAAATCGAAAGTGTGGATCTTACACTATGGTTATGTATGATAATAACGAAAAATTGCTGATGTTTAATCTTTTGGTACATTTACATGGAAAATAATCATAGAATTTTTGCAGACTCCTACCTTTACAAATTCCTCGCAGATAAGATATTTGCAAGAAAAATATTCGAATATTTTGCAGGAGAAGGGGGGGGGGGTGTAGCAAAGACCCTTAAATATATACCGGTAATAATGGACAGTGACAAGCGATTTTTTAACATTTTTTTCCTTAAGAATATTTTTTGAAATGTAAATATATTCCATATTACTCCAAAGAAACTCACATTTAGGGCTAGAATGCTTTAAAGAGTTCTGTTTTACTAAAAAAAAAACCATTCTGATGAATTGCGAAATCCCTTTCCAATTAATCTAAAATTTTCACTGTTTCTGTATCGAAAACGACGTTCAAATTATTGTTATAAATAAATAAATTGATTAATTACAAGTCTTTCCAACTTTTTTCTACCTCCTCTCTTGCAAATAATCTAGATCTTTTACATGTAAATGTTAAAAAAACTCGCAATTTCAAGATCTAAGAATTTCGTTTTTTCGAATTTTGAAAGTCTATTTCAATTTAAACAAAACTTTTCAGAAACATTCCTTTCAAGATCATTTCAGTTATCTTGTCAATTATTTTTTTCCTGACTGCCCCCTTCCCAACTTTGAAAAACGATACTACGTGCGTAGACGCACATGCCAAAGATCAGCTTAATACCTGCAGGCCTGTAAGGAAAAATCCGGAAAACAAAGTTGGACAGACTATCAGCATTTGAAGCATGTCATATTGTTTATGATGATCAATACTTAACTAGGAGCAAAGCATCGCTCAAAAATGTGTTGAAGGGAAAATAAATAGAACGTTCCTTCTTTAATATTATATTACATAGGAACCAGGTAGAATAAAAAAAATTACCAAGACAGTCACACAAATTATTGTACCCCCCGCTTGAAAAGTGGGGGGTTACAGTGATGGGGGTGTCTGTTTGTACGTCCGTTACGCTGTAGGGTACACATCTCTTATCTGCAACTCCTCTTATACGACTGAATAAGATTTAATGATACATTCACAGAATCTTTGTTACAAAGTGCCATGCATTGTGCGCCCTCTGTTTCACTTTTTGATCGGACACATACATGTATTTCGGGTTTCCCATTGCAAAATATGGACTTTGCCATTATAAACATATGGGAGACGGGGGATATCATTTTGTGAGCCCAGTGCTCACAGTACCTCTAGTTTTTACTACATGTATCTTTAAAATTCAATCAGTTAAATACGATCGAGGTTGCCAATGTAAAATCAAGTTCCAAAATCCTTTTAAAAGTCTTAAATTAATTATGATGTTTATTATTATAGTATTAATACTAGTTTTAATTCAAAGTCACATATTCATACGTGTAAAATCGATCAAGGAATTTTTTCCGCCCTACGACGTGACAGAAAATGACGTTCTACTAACATTTTCCTTTAAAACACCATTATACTTCAGACTCTCTTTTTCAAAAAATATAATCGATATCGGAAAAAGAAAAACGGAAAAGAAAAGCTAAAAGTCTTTACTATCAATTGACAAAAACCCGTTAATTTTTGAGACAGGGCCATTTTTGATGCTTCGTGGCTCTTGCTCTTTGCTCAATTCATGGTCCCTTGTTCTAAGATGTCAGATTTTCCGTTTGGAATACTCAACAAAAAATCTTTTAAAGAACAAGAGGACCACAGTTGGTCCAATTTATATTTATATACAGTCAAACCTATCCTGTAACTCAAAGGAATAGTGATTAAAGTTCGAGACCAAAAAAAAGGGTAAAAAAAGAAAACGTGGTTTAGACTACCAGTCACTTCGACATATCCAAGGTATTCAAGATATCAGTGTTTGAGATAATGAAGTTCAACTGTACTCATATGAAAAGTATATTCTACTTGAAACATTCCCATGTAGTGTAGATTCAGCATTTTCAAATCTCTCAAGAAAGCTGGGGTTAGGAGTTTGTTATTTCTTATTTACAACACTACAACAGTATTTGATTGATTTTGATGTACTCTGACAGTAAAGATAAAAGTTGTTGACAGTATGTCTGTTTTTGACAACAAGGGGTTATATATTCATTAATTAATCTCTCAGGAAATGTGACTCAGATGAGTTTTAATTAAGATCTAAGAATTTCTTGTTTCATGTCTTTTCTATTGATCAAATCTTAACAGTGATCAGAATTTTGCAGTTCAGCCATGTCAATTAAATGTTGTAAATTAAGAAGTAGGGATGAAGTACAAAATAATGTATGGGATAAACATACAGTACATGTGTATTGTTTCATTTCAGAACCCACTGCCAGCTGATCAAGCTGTTTGCCCGAGGGATTGAGGAGCTGGAAGTTAACGCCTCCCAGTCCTGTACCTCCTGTTGTGATCTGTGTGACCCTGAGGATAAGTACACAAGTATAGGAGGTCACACCTGAGTGACGTTCGACCCCTCACCGGTAGTTAAAGGCCACACAAGGAATTATGACCATCACACTTGATTGAAGTGAGGCACCTCAAGTGATTCATGCATGTTACTTTGCTTTGGAGTAATTTTCTATTTAGTGAATACTTTCGTTAGTACTTTTTCTATTTGTGAAAGAAATAACATAAGTAATTGTTTCTGTGGGGAAGTTGTTTTTGTATTGCTATTCAGAAATGGAAGTTAAAAAAGAAAAAAAAAATCCATGAAGAATAATGAAAATACATGTAGCATCTTTATGAGCCTCTAAAAAGACAGAGATTTATACCCACAGAAAGGATTACTTGTAGGGTATGTAAAGAAGGAGGTGAATTAATAGCAGTCTGTGATATTATTTATGTTTTTAATGTCATACATGTATTATGTTTATGCTGTATTTTTCTGAGAAATCTATTACATCATTATCAGTTGCCCACTGCTGTCAGTATGGACATGCTTAAGCACATTATCAGTTCACAGTATCAATTACCCTTATATACATGTATTTTTTGATGAGGGAGTAAAATTATCTTATCAAAAGTATACTAGGTGAATGAAAGAGATCTTTAAGCAATATTTTTGAATACATGTACAATGCAACACATTCCATACAAACTTTTCACAAGCACACAGTCATGCATAATAAATGTGGTGTGAAGTACACACTTGTATAGGTTCATGATTTTTTTTTTTATCTAAAATGATAGAAACTTTTGAACTACTTTGAAAGTATCAAAATAACTTTGTATTCTGTGCAATATTGTATATTTTAAGCGCATTCATTTTTCTAAAGATGAGTAAGGGTAGATGAATGGGAAAATCATTATTCTTAGAGATTAGCAATACAGTGGTTGATTTAGTTTCCTTCTCTCTTTGTTGGGGGAATTTTTTCTCTCTATGATACAGTGTACAAAGTCCATCTGTCCTTCAACTGACAAGAATGCATAATTATGATTAGTTGAGCATTACTGAAATCAAATTAATGGGTAGCTGAAATGTCAGTATTTGTCATCATACAGAGGTTTGATACATTGAAATTCTGTTCAAGAAATTGATTTTAAACTCAAATTTATTTTTTCTGAAAATAATATCTAAAGGATCTTAATCCAGAGAAGCTTACATGTAAATACTGGTTCATTGATTAAATCATTTTTAATTAAGAAGTGAATTTCAAAGATTTATAGTACCCTGCCTAGTCTATGATACATTATATATTCTATAAATAATTATTATAGCAATGGAAACTTATTGCACTACAACTTTAACTGCCAGAAAATTACTATCTGCTTCAGCACTGTGTTGTCATATCTTGATTCTCATTTCATCACTTTCTTCAAAGGTTGTTCACATAGTACATGTACGTAAATTAGTTGGGCTTGAAAATACCTGGGTACTCATTTTCTGAAAGTATTGAAATTTTATGTGAAGGTTTTCAAATAGGTCAGCATGCAGGGAACCAACCATTTTCCATTTTTACATACCACTTGACATACATGTAGTAATTCTACTCATCTAATATTATATGTGATAGCATTGATCTCTATGTATTCAGAACTTAAAACATGTTTACTGTATGGAGAGTCTATGACAACAGGGAGATGACATAAGCTTAGCCTATTTGATCACAGACAACATGCATGCACTGATTAAGCTCATGTGGAATTTTTGACCTTTTAATTAATACTTGCAGATGATAAAAATAAGCAGACAATTATCTCAATGTTTTACAATTTGTTGCAGTGGTATAGTTCAAAGTAAATCCAATCCATCATTAAGCAAAGTTACCTTATATCTGAATCAATGCAAATGTAGTAATGTTCAATGCAATTAATAATCAATATAATTTATGCAACTGTAGATATATATATTTTTAAATACATCTGTTTTGAAATCCCAAGAAGTTGTTCAGATCCAATGGAAAATGGAGTAGCCTTCTATTCTGAAACTATTAATCAGGAATATATATCTTAATTAGACTTTATTTCTAAAATAAGAAAGTAGAATGGTTTTTTTAATTTGAAGAAAACAGAATACATGTTCCTTTAAGGAATAACTTAATAATTGCTTTTTCTTTACTGGACATATCTGCACTACTCTTTTGTTACATTTTGTTTCATGTAAAGTGAATGTAAATCAATGATAACTTTATTTAATAATTACAGTACATTCCTGACAGTTTGTAGATGAGACTAAATTGTGAATTTTATTTTTGTCTGTATAGAAGATGGAAGTAGATTTGAATATATTTTTATGCTTGTGTTTTAGCTATGTTTCTGAACAAATCCTATATATTAATTTTTCATAGGACATTAGGTGAACTTCGGTAAGGACAGCATCTATTAATGGGTTTAATTTGTTGTATGGATGCCTTGCATCCCCAGATGATCTAATTCTGAAATTTGCAATGGAGTATCTTAACAAATTTTACATTAAATAAAATGAGTATATCAGAAAGAGGATAGAAAAGTATCTGCCTTCTGATATATGTTGTAGGAACTATAATTCTACATTACAGAAGTTCTACATGTATACTTTTGTAATTTGAATGGTTGCTGTCCTTGCAATGTTTACCACAAATGTGTGTTACGTGTACTTGGTAAACTTAATACGTCAAGTATATCCTATATATTTTAACAATTTTTTTTCTAAAAGTGTGAAATATGTAGCTGCCACTTTACTGTGTACTTTCAACATGCTTGGGTTGCACTTTAATGACCTTTTCCCAATCAGGATTATGGTGAAAATGGTGCACTGAAAAATTATAGACTTTTTTGGCCAACAATCAATGCTATTAATCAAAAGGTAACTTTGCCAAAAATGTAATGTTTAAAGAAAGCAATTTTCAATATCCCCGTAGAAAGAGGAATGCATTTTATTTTTATATATTTTACTAAATATAGCTTATTTTTCAAGTCATTCAAACAGTTTAAATAATATGACAGGTGTAATTATTGAAAGTCATTCATACTTTATATTTTTATTGATTAATCAATGCAAAGAATTTATTTTTATGAATTCAAGGTTTTTAAAACAATGCAATTTTTCCAAATGTTACAAAGCTTATGTACGTGAAGCATATATCAGATGTGTATATATTGTAGTAGACGGTTATCTTATTCTATGCCTTGTTAACATGGAATCAAAAAGGAATGACCATAATATTTTTTTTTTTGCTGCACATTTGTTGGATTGAAACGCTTTAGATGCTGTTTTTATTTATAATTATAGTAAGTGGTCTCTGTGAACCAAAATTGTTATGCGTTCTAAGGCTTCAGATGTCATTGTTGATTTCTTAGTAAATTATACTTTATTCTACTTGTTGTTTTCACTTTGGGATAATTAGAATTATTATTCCTCTACTAATTTTTCCCTCTATAAAAATTAGATCATCAGGTTTGAATAATTCCCCCAAAATCACTGAATGGACGAAACCCAGTTTTGCCATGCGTTAGTCATGAGCTAACCGGGTGCTAATTCAAGATTTTTGGTGACTGTTGTCTGGCTGTTCACTATACTTGCAAAACTTGCACGATGGGCTGAAGATTTTTATAGGAAAAAAAGAAAAACGTATTTTAATGACAATGTCATTAAAGTCACAAGAACAGGATGTAAATACTAACAATTAAGTGTGCTTATAAATAATGTAATCATAGGGAAATTACCTTTACCATCATTGTAGGAAAATGATCATATCACTCATTTACGTTATTTAATTTTCCTACAATGCTGACAACCCTAGTATTTCCAATGATGGCAATAAAAATACTTTTCATTGTTTATATTGACGGATATAGTGTTGGATATTCATGTACATGGACAACTGTGATCATCCAAGACATCTATAGATTGTCCCATATGACGAGTTTTTTTTATAACCCCCCCCCCCCTTTCCCCGGAACCGAAGGTTAGGGAAGGATGTGCATTGAAATCAGTTCTGAGTTGAGTTTCAAGGAGTTTAGTTAGACATGCAAACAGCATTTTGATATCTGTCCACTTCAAGATTAGTAATCATTTCTGTTAGAGAATTTTGATCAAGCAGGTGTTATCCATATCTTTTGGGAATTTGGAAGATGAATAAAAGATCTGATCACTTAGTTGCAATTGATAACATCTGTTGGATTAAAATGTGTAGTTCTTGATGGCCAGATATTGTTTTCAAAATTAATTTGGTATAAAGTTTAAAAACATTTGACCTTGAATAATGTAATACTTTTTATATATCTACTAACAACCAAATTGCAGAATGTCATGTTCACTAAAATGACAGATGGTTGCAATTAAATTTTACAATCTATTAAAAACACAATTACATGTATTCTATTTGAATGTTATATTAGGCTGTGCCACAGTTCATCATTTATAAAGATACAATTCAGTTTGGACTGACATTGTAAACATTGTGGACACACTTTAGATCCATAGAGTACTTTTAGTGACATGATATCATTCTTGAAAAACCCTGCGGGGGGTTTTGTCAATTTTGAGCATTTCTGTTTTTATTCTGACATTCAGTTAACTAACATTGACCAGCATATTGGCTAAGAATAAAACAAACAAACAAACAAACAAAAAAAATGCATGGTACATTTTAAATAATGATGCATGTTTGAAATTGCTTCGGAGGCTTGATTTTTTGCTCACCTCAACAAAATTGGGGGAGCTTATGTAATACCCTTGGCGTCGGTGTCGGCGTCCCAGGTTAAGGTTTTTGGAGCAGTTTTCTTTTCAAGTACTTCTATGGCCTATATTAGTCAGAGATGCATGGAGGATGCTTCTAGTGTGTTTCATTGTATCAGTCAAGGTTTCAGCTGCTGCAATTTCAGCTAAAGAATGACCAGATTAATGTTTTTGGAGCAGGTTAAAGTTTTTGGAGCAGGTTAAAGTTTTTGGAGTAGGTCTCATTTCCAAGTAACTATAAGCCCTATATTGACCAAACTTGCATGGATGATACATCTAAGGATGCACACTACTGAACTTGCTTCAGATGCTGGATCTGACCTACATTTTCCGGATGAGTGACCAGGTTAAGGTTTTTGGAGTAGATCTCATTTCCAAGTAACTATAAGCCCTATATTGACCAAACTTGCATGGATGATACATCTAAGGATGCACACTACTGGACTTGCTTCGGATGCTGGATCTGACCTATATTTTCCAGATGAGTGACTAGATTAAGGTTTTTGGAGCAGATGTCATTTCCAAGTAACTAAAAGCCCTATATTGACCAAACTTGCATGGATGATACATTTAAGGATGCACACTACTGGACTTGCTACAGATGCTGAATCTGACCTATATTTTACGGATGAGTGACCAGGTTAAAGTTTTTGGAGCAGATGTCATTTCCAAGTAACTATTAACCCTATATTAACCAAACTTGCATGGCTGATACATCTAAGGATTCACACTACTGGATTTGCTTCGGATGCTGGATATGACCTATATTTTCCGGATGAGTGACCAGGTTAAAGTTTTTGGAGCAGATGTCATTTTCAAGTAACTATAAACCCTATATTGACCAAACTTGCATGGATGATACATCTAAGGATTCACACTACTGGACTTGCTTCGGATGCTGGATCTGACCTACATTTTCCGGATGAGTGACCAGATTAAAGTTTTTGGAGCAGATCTCATTTCCAAGTAACTATGAGGCCTATCTGAACCAAACTTGCATGGATGATGCATCAAGGGACGAACAATCTCAAAACTTGCTTCGGATGCTGGATTTGACTTACATTTTCTGAATGAGTGACTAGTTTTAAGTTTTCAGATAAGTCTATTCCCAAGTAACTGCAAGCCCTATCAGACCAAAATTGCATAAATGTTGCATCTAGGGATGCACACTCCTAGATTATTAGTTTAGTGTGAGACTTTGCCTTACTTAAAGACAACATTCGTTGAGGTGAGCTCTGTAATCTCTGATTACCTATGTTTGAATTTTAAAAGAGACTTTCAGAAAGTCTTTAGTAATAAATAAGGAAAAAAAAAAAGAATTGCTCAGAGTACAGTAGTAAAAGTGAGGGAATTTTCAATAAATTGAGAATAAACCATCCATCTATCCGTGTTTATATTTACATTAATATTGTTTCTACACAAATATGAAAGCATTTCAAGTTCTTTGTTTCTTTGATTCTTATGCCAGCTTCCACTGAAAACAAGTAATCATATATATATATATATATATATATATATATATATATATATATATATATATATATATATATATATATATATATATATATATATATATATAAATTACACATAACTTTTTTTGCATTCCAGGAATTCAAGAGCAATATTTTCTTCTTTTTCCCGTATTCCAATAACAGTGTATTTATTTATCTTTACTTGATAGAAACTGCAGAAAAACCTCATTTTAAGTATTATTTGGACAGGAAATAATAAACTTTTTTTGCCGCCTATTATCCATGACTGTTTCCTTGTTCATACATAATGCATATCATAACAGACCAGACATAATTTCTTGTATATTAAAACTGCGACTAAATGAAACCCTATATGCTATTTGAAATATTTATATCGATTTTTCTGATTAAGACAATTGTTTCCTCTATGAAAACATCCCCATTTCCTTGTCTGTTATTCAATTTGAATGAGCTACCTTTTATCAAATAATCCCCCGAGAATTCGAATTCGCTTAGCAAAGAAAAATGATTGTTTTAAAATATTTCATACCAAATTTTTGATAATTTTAATTCATAGAGATTGTCGTTTCAAGAATGAAGCGTGAGCGATTTAAAAAAAAAATTAAAAGTATGAGGTTTTAAGCCTTTTTTGACCCTAAAATCGAATTCTACGGTAAAAAGTTTAGTTTAAAACTTCGTTTTTTACAGAAGTCTTTAACCTCGTTCTCTGAAAAAAAAAATGTTTATTCATTGAAAAATTGACAAAAAATAATTGTCAACGAAGCGTGCTTGGTGTCGTTTCTCTCGTACTTAGCCATTTTTTTCATGTAAACAAACCAACGAGATGTCGTTGAAGCTGACTTAAGATCTTGCAAAAAATACAGATGCAACTGAATTTCTTAATTAATCTAAAAAAAAAAACAAAAAAAAAAAAAAAAACAAGACACTAACCCTAATCTCTCGGATGGTATGCGAAGACTAACCCAAATCTCCCGGGCGGATGCTAGCTAGACTAACCCATATGCGATGACTAACCCTAATCTCTCGGATGGATGCGAGAATACCGTAATCAGTCGAAAACTTGTGCAAGGACTAACCCTAATCTTTCTGGTGGGTGCAAGTCTAACCCTTACCAGTCGAAAAATGTGCAAGACTAACCCTTATCAGTTGAGTGACTTAAATCTTATGTCATAGTGCTATGAGTACGCGGATCTTGCGGATCTGGGGACCGGTATTAAAGCAAAGTCTACCCCATATTTAGACAATTGAGCCCTTTTTAATATATCAGTGATATAATTCATTTTTAGCATTTGAACCTTTTTTAAGCTTTGCCCGTGTCTGGGGACCATGATTAAAACAAATCTAAGACTACACTGCATGAGAATTTTCCTGTCATTTTCATTTCCATATAAAATGTTGGACCCTTTTATAGCGTCATCCATATGCAGTTTTGTTTTGAACATATTTTATTGACAATATGTCAAAGTGATTGGACACAAGTTCTAAAAATTTAGATAGTCCTCTCCCATACATAAAATCTTAATAGCCATACAACATTTTACAAAGATTTACAATTTTACAATATTATACATGAACGTAGAAGAACAAAAACAAAAGTTATTATTGCTAAGGAATATCAATTGATATAAGGATGATTATAATGACGTCAATAACCATATTAAAATAGTTTCAAAAGGTAGTAAATACAAGTACATGTAAGTGTTAATTGAAACGACCAGTATCCTGAATAAATTTTTGAACAATACCAAATATTTGTTCGTTTTCCTGCAAAGATAATGATTCATCTCCTCATAGCAGTTTATGCACATTTAACATTTTTACATTATTAATTAAAAGTAATGCATATCCAGTGGTTCATGGTTTGAACAAACTGAATTGTATAACGCTTGAGAATACCTGCATGTAAGTTTGTAGCGCTGTAGTTCTTTTAAGATTTTAAAAGATATTTTCCGATTGTACATGTATATCTATGTGGAAATTGGGATTCCTTTGGTTTGGTACATTCTTTAACCTGCCTCGGGAGCAATTTTATAAGAAAAATTGGATCTACAGAGCATGAAAAGGATAGTTTAAGAATTTTGATAAATTTTAGATCCGTTTTGTTCTAATCGCTGCCCATTGGGAATCAGAGTAAACGTACGGGAA